GCAACTGACTGTGTCAAGGGATGTGAAGTTCCTTGAGTCCCTGTACTACAAGGAGTGGAAGCAGTAGCAGCAGAAGCTTCCTACTACACCGCTGATCATTGAGGCCGATGAGGTGCAGCGGCCTTCGAGGCAAGTGCAGGTCACTGTCTCAGAGGAGGAGATCTCTGGGGTGACTGAGGATGGGGGAGAACCTGAGGTGGAGGAGCAGCAGCAGCAACAGCAGCAGCAGCAGCAGCAGCAGCAGCAGCAGCAGCAGCAGCAGCAGCAGCAGCAGCAGCAGCAGCAGCAGCAGCAGCAGCAGCAGCAGCAGCAGCAGCAGGAGCCGCAGCAGCAGCAGCAGCAAGGTGCTCCACAAGGTGCCACACATTCGGCCGACCGTCCTAGGAGGGATGTGCGCCCTCCCAACCGGCTGACCTATCCGAGCTTTGGCAAGCCAAAGGTGGTACGGGCTGGGAGTGTGGCTGAGCAGTGTGATGAGGAGGAGATAGCGCACTGCTACTGGGCAGCCGTCCCTGAGCCCAAGACGCTCACCGAGGCCTTGAGTGGGCCCGATGCTGAGAAGTGGAAGCAGAGTGTGAAGGAGGAGTATGATTCTCTGCTGGAGAACGAGACGTGGGAGCTGTGTGAGCTGCCTCCTGGGAAGAAGGCAATCTCTTCGAAGCTGATTTTCAGGCACAAGTATGGACCTGATGGTGAGTTGACCGCTACAAGTCAAGGCTTGTGGCTAAGGGGTTCCAGCAGACAAAGGGCAAGGACTTTGACGAGATCTTTGCTCCTGTGGGGAAAGGGACAACACTGAGAGTGTCATTGGCAATGGCTGCAAACCGTGGATGGCGGATAAAGCAGATGGACATTACCACCGCCTTCCTCAATGGGATTATTTTGGAGGAGCTGTACATGCTGCAGCCTGAGGGGTTGGATGATGGGAGCGGCAGGGTGTGCAGGCTGAAGAAGGCCATCTATGGCCTGAAGCAGGCTCCTCGTGCATGGTACCACAAGCTGGAGGAGACACTGCTGGCTGGGGGTTTCAAGAAGAGTGAGTGCGACCACAGCCTGTTCCTGCTGCAAGAGAAGGAGCAGTTTCTCATGCTCCTGGTGTATGTGGACGACATCCTGCTTTTCTCCGAGTCGTCTGCAATGATTGAACGTGTGGAGGAGATGCTGGAGATGCAGTTCAAGTGTTCCAAGATGGGAGATGTGAAGTATTACCTTGGGATGCATGTGGAGAGAGACCTCGACAAGGGAGTGTTGAGGTTGCACCAGAGGAAGTATTGTGAGGGGCTGGCTGAGAAGTATGGGCTGCAAGATGGAGGAAAGCCAGCCACCCCACTGCCTTCAGGGCTTACTGTGAAGCCCTGTGCTGATGAGGAGGTGGTGGGCGAGAGTGACAGGAAGCTGTTTCATTCCATGGTTGGGGCGCTCAACTATGCGGCCAACCACACGCGGCCTGACATTGCCTTTGCTACATCCAGGCTTGCGAGTGTGGTGTCACGTCCCAATCAAGAGCAGCTGGAAGCGGCCAAGAGGTTGGTCCGCTATGTGAGCGCTACAGCATCAGTGGGCTTGGAGTATAGTGCTGTGCGACAGAGGCTGCAGAGGGGTGCAGCTGATTAGAGCAAGGGGGAGTTGCTCTTGACTTGCTATACCAACGCTAGCTTCAACTCTGTGAAGGCGGATGGCACCAGCATTGGAGGCTATGTGTGCCTGTTTGGAGGTGGTGCAATGAGCTGGCGCAGAAAGAAGCAGAACGACGTTGGACTGTCCTCGTGTGAGACCGAGTACATGGCCCTTCATCATGGGGCAAAGGAGGTGGTGTGGCTGAGGCATTTGTTGGAGGAGATCGGAGTGTGCCAGAAGGAGCCGACTGTGATTTTCTGTGATAATGAGTCGGTTGTGAAGCTGGCCAAGAATGCTTGCCTTCATGGCCTGACAAAGCACATCAGGCCAAAGTGGCATTGGACGAGGAGGCTCCTGGACAAGGAGGTGCGACTGGAGATTGTGAAGACCCAGCAGCAGGCGGCTGACATTCTCACCAAGCGCCTGGCTGAATCTGAGCATTGGAAGGGAATGAAACTTGCTGGGATGAGTGTGCATTGAGGGTGCATGCTTGAGCTATGGCATGTGGGATGATGGTTGGCAGCCAGAGGGGGAGTTTGTTATGTGATGCTATCATTCGCATTCACGTCTGTCTGCCTCCCATCATATGTTCGTGCGTTGCATGCGTGGTGTGAGCGTGTGCAATAATTTATGTTTGGTGTGGTTTGGATTCTCTGAGTGTGTGTGAATGATGTTTTGCTTGAGCAGATATCTGAAATGACTTCCCTGCTCAAGAGCTTTCCGACGAACCAAGAATCGCCGCGATCGGAGCAAGAACGAGAAAGTTATTATCGTTCGAAGTTTTGATTGTGATGCGGCGACTTTGGGAATTTGTGGAGTGACTCTATATGGGGTATAGACTTTTGGGGGTTGGGAAATTCGTCCCCATTACTGTAGATGTTGCCAAATGGTTGGGAGAAGCCAAACCAGGTTGGCAAGTGTGGCCAAGTTGGGTGAGGTGGATGGCATGGGTTGGGAAAGTGACAAATGTCAAAGTTGGGGTGCCTATAGAGAGGGGAATTGTGTGGCATGGGGTTTCCTTGGTTGGGGACTCCTTGGGGACCTTCCCTCTCGTCCTCCTCTTCCCTCCTACCTGGTTTCTTGCTACTCTAATCCTCTTTGTGGAACTTGTGAGAACTATTGTGATTAAATTAAGTTTTCAATGGCAGCTTACCCCCTAGTGCGTCGAAATTCATAACTCGAGTTATACTCCATCTTTGGATGCGATTCAAATTGGGAAAGATAGCCACGGTCAAGGGCTACAACATACTCGAGTTTGAGAGAATTCCAACGGTGCAATTTTCGTCGACGACGTTTCTTGTGAACTCGACGATTCTGTCCAGAATTCTAAGCCAACGATTTTGAGATATTTCGGCCCCTAATCTTCGTAGACTCCATCCTTAGTCTCTAACACTCTTAGGGCCGTCCACACCAGCCTCTCGCTCCAGTCCCGCCAGTCTTCCAGGGGCATGAGGTCTGCCGGTGTTGTGCGGAGCAGGTATGAGATGTGCCTCGAGATGCATCGGGACAGCAGAAGTAGTGCGTGCTGGGGGTGGATGTTGCTGATCAGGTCGAGAGGGGCCGCCACGGATTCCAGGTATGTTGTCACCATTCGCCTCCCATAGTCCCTTGTGCTTATCGGGCTCCCCAGGATGCGGATTCCGTCCACCGCCGCCACCAGCCCTTCTGGTAGATCGTCAGGTATCTCTGCCGAGCTCCACGCGGACGATTTCATGAGGTTGCACTTCAATCCGCGGCTAGCCAGGTGGCGCGATATGATGCCCAGGGTCAGCGCCGCCTCCGTCGCGTTGCCCACTATCGTAATGTTGTCTACATAAGCCATGACTGTGACGGTAGGGAAGATATCCGCCGCCACTTGGAGCGCCGGTTGGATTGCCACTGCAAATAACATCGGGCCTAGCAGGTCTCCCTGCCGTACGCCGCGTGCGCTTTCTATGTGCGGTTCCGCAAACCCCTGGTCTAGCAACAGATGTGAGGGGCGTGCCGTAAAGCGTCCGAACAAGTGGAATGATGCGGCTGAGTCCTGAGAAGTGCAGGGACTCCAAGAAGCTTGCACGCTCTACAGAGTTAATAGCATTTTCGATGTCCAGTTGTAGCGCCACTCGTTTGGGATCTTCGGCTAGCAGTGCTCGCACCGTATGGATCATGACTTCCGCGCCCCCAGGGATAGCCACGCCGAATTGTACCAGCAGGAAGTATTCCCGTATCGGACCGCTTTGCTCCCTTAGCGCTGTTTTGGCCGTGAGCCGTAGTATGGCTTCGCCGATGGCTATTGACCTGACGCCTCCATCTGGCTTTTCTAGTGCTATCAACCTAGATGGTAGCAGCAGGTCCGTGAGCTCCGCTGGGAGGTGCATTCTAAGGAGGTAGTTTATGACGCCGAGCAGATGTGTGAAGACTTCGCCGTTCACCAGAGCTGGAACTCGTAGATGTTCGAAGCAGGTCTCTGATGGTCCTGCTCCTATACCGTTGGGGCACTTCGCCAGGACGTCGCAAAAATTTTATGATGTTGTCGAGAGGTTGGATGTCGTGAACCCTATAACCCATACTGAGAGCGATCGTTCTGCTCCTGGGTGTTTGGCTCGCAGTGCCTCCAGAGTCTCTTGCGAGGGCTCAGCGAGTGGTGAAGTTTGTAACGCGGCGACTGCCTTTGCCAGGTTGGCTTTCCAAACCAGGCCCTCGGCTCTGGCGCAGATGCCTTCTGGGTTTGGTTGGTGTCGGCTCAGTTGGGAGTCTTCCAGAACGGCGCAGGCCTGGTTGCATAGTTGGTCCCACTTCTCAGCCTTGAACTGGTGAAGCCTCGTTGATGCTTCGCTCCATTTGTTTCCAGGTGTCTTTTATGCGCTTTCCCTAAGTGTCAGTCGGGGTAGGAATAACAGCAGTCGCCATGCTCCTAGGCAGGTCGGCTTCTTGGAAAGTCGTAGCAGTGGAATTGAGAGGCAGTAGCTGTATAATTCCAGAAGCAGGGGGGGGAAGTTTCCTGACCAGGAAAGGTTGTACACTGTTGCAGAGGGGTCCCAAATCCCATCTCTTCACCTTCTCCTACGTGGCTTTATTATCTGCGATGACAGAAGGTGAGCGTTCCTCATTGGCTGCCACTGTGGCAGCCTGTTCACCTGATTCGGCCTCTCCTACGGCTTTGTCATTCCAGGCCCTCCCCCGCCCGTGATTTGCTCGTGGGTTTTGTACCCCTTTCTCAGCCTAGAGAGAGACGTCCTCTGACTCCTCTGCCTCTGAACCCATATATTCCTCGTCGTTGTCATCCTCTCCTTCAGTCATTGAGTTTTGCGCCTGTCCTCTGCCTGTTCGCTCAGGCCTTCCATGTCTTTCGCGCCAGTTGCCAGATCTGGCTTTTTCCCTCGCTACTGCTCTCACCAATTGTCCTAGTCCTCTCCCACCGGCCCGTCCTCTCCCCCGGCCACCTCTTGCCGCCCTGGGCGCCGCGTTTTGCGGCCCTTGACTTGCCGCACGTTGTTTGTCTGTTCCTGGAGGGCTTGCTGCCTGCTCGTTCCCGCACGTTGGCGGCGTTGCCTTGGCCCCGGCTCTCTCTTGTTTCCTCCGTCCTCCACGTTATCTTCCTCTTCGGCAATCGGCTCCTGCTCCTCGTCGGCTACTAATGTGGCTCCTGCTCGGCAGCGTCCCGATGATGGGGAAGCGTCGGCCTCCTCGTCATGAGCGGAGTGTGGTGGGGCTTGCTGCAGCGACCATCTCACCAGTGGGCCAGGGCGGGCAGGTTCTAGCCCTGCTCCGAGCCGCCGCTGATGTGGTTGCGGCCACAGCGGGCGGCGGTTCTTCCCTGGCGCCATCTGTTCAGTCCGGTCCCCTAAAGCCGATTTATCCCCCCCCCCCCCTTCCGTGGACGGACTGATCCCTATTTGCGAGCCCGCGGTCAGCCGTTCCATCGCGCGCTCTGGCGTAGCAGACTCCGCCTCTGGCATCCCAGTCGCAGCCCTTGCAGCTTCCCTCGCCGCAGTCTCAGGCCTCCTTGTCACAGCAGCAGTCCTCGTCCGCCATGGCACCCCTGCTGCCGTCTCCGCCGGTGGCGTAGGCTGGGTCGTCTGGTCCGGATGTGGTGCCGCAGCCTCCACGACAGACGTGGGCGTCAGTGCTGGCGCCTCAGTCGTTGCAACGTTCGTTTGCGCTCCCAACGGCGGCTCCTCCACCGCCTGCGTCGGCGTCGGTTGTGGCAACCCCGCCTCAGCCTCTGTCGTCCCAGCCGCCGCCACTGCCGCAGTATCCTCAGCCGCCTCCTCCGTCCGTGCTGCCTCCCGGTGTTCTCCCGGCAGCCCCCACTGTCCCCGTCTCTCCGGCTGTTGTTGCGGAGCAGGAGCCCCAACGTCAGCTTCCTCTCCTCCCTCATATCCCGTCATTGGTGCCGCGTTTCCGTCGCCGTTCGCCTTTCCCTGGGCTTTCGGGAGATGCTCCTGATCCACCGGAGGGGTGGTGGTTGGAACAGGACACTTGGACTGCCCCTGTTGAGCCTGGATCTTCGTGGGGTCGGTGGGCTGCTGACACTCCGGTTGTAGCTGATATTGTTCGTTGGGAGCGGCGGTTGTTGGATGTTGGGGAGTGCCTCTCTCTCCTCGCGACTGTGCTTGACCAGCTGCATGCTGGGCTGCAGAGCCGGCCAGATGTTGCACGCGATCCCCAGCTCGATGAGGCGCAGCAGGGCGTGGTTCGTGCTGCTGCCGCCCTGTGCCCGTGGTCCCTGCACCATCTGCCGCTGGAGAGTGAGTCTCCTGCTGAGAATGAGGGCCCGGGCGCGACGTGCTTCCGGCGGGTAGCCATGGCAGCTGAAGAGGTGCCCCTTGGGCTCGTGCCTGCACTCGCGTCAATGCACCGGTGGCTGCATTGGCGGATTTACCTTCAGAACCGGGTGTAGCCGCATTTCGTTTTGCGCCCCTCTCTTGCGTCCCTTTCCCCTTCCCCCTCGCAGCCATGCTAGGCCGGCCTGGTTTGTTTTATTCCTCGCTGCTAGTGCCCCGTGTTGTAATGCTTCATACTATAGTGCTTCTTCCCTTCTTGTCCTTGCCACCCCTCTCGCGCGGGCGAAGGCCGCGCTGTCGAGCGACGACCGCCAAAGGCGGCCGGCGCGAGCCGCTGGGTTGGAAGGAAACCAACTCACCAGGAACTAATGAGCTGGGAGTGGGCACTTGGGTTTTTTGTAGGGTGCTGTACTCCTTATAGGGCACATAACAGGATACACTAAGGGCGGAAGCAAGGAACCGAGCCTATACTAGGCTATACTAAGGCGATACTAGGCTATGAGAGGATAGAGAGGTGTGTGAGGCTAAGGACTAAGTTCCTAGTGCCTCTCTCTCTCTCTCTCTCTCTCTCTCTCTCTCTCTCTCTCTCTCTCTCTCTCTCTCTCTCTCTCTCTCTCTCTCTCTCTCTCTCTCGCTCTCTCGAACGAGCCGCTGGATTCTGAGAGTAAAATGAACTCACCAGAACAGTATGAGGAGAAAAGAGCCCTCCCAAGGCTTATATACTAGTAGGATAGGGGAAGGAGAGGCTAAGGGAGGTTGAGAGGCTAAGGACCAGCTCCTAGGTCTCTCTCTCTCTCTCTCTCTCTCTCTCTCTCTCTCTCTCTCTCTCTCACTCTCTCTCTCCCAACCCCCACTCCCCACCCCCCTCACTCTTGTCGAGGTCACGCTGAACCATTGCCATTTTTTATTCCCCCCCACCCCCCTTTTTCTAGTTTTCTTTGAAGTGAGACACAGCTTTATAAGTCATTCATTTTCATATTCAACCACTCTCCAGGTGCCACACCTGAATCTGCAGAAGTCCCTCCCTCCCGTATCCACTAAACTTCTGCAAGTTAGGCAGAGACTGGAGGGAAGGGCCAGAGAAGCAAGGTGGGAATGAGGCAGACGGGGAGGGGAGGGGAGGGGAGAGGGTGAGAGACGAGAGTTCGAAAGTGGGCGACAAGGGAAGGGAGGATGTAGATGGAGAGGAAAGAGAGGAGAGAGGAGGATGTTGAAAATCCCAAAATAAGAGAGGGAGTGGTTAAGAAGTGTGAGGATTGACAGTTGATGTTATTATACATACATATATATATATTTATATATTTATGTATACATATGTATATATTGCAGTGGGAACTAGTAGTGTTTAGGGACATGAGTGTAGGCGGGTAGTTAGTGCAGAGAAGGTTGTGAAAAATAGCAATTTCCTTTGACTGAGCTTCAAGTGCAAGGCAGTGTTTGGACAATATCTCCCGTCTCATTTGTTTTTCAGGGTAGAATTTTATTGAAACTCATATAATGGGCTTGAGTACATCCACCCCAGTTTCCTATGCCACCATACCAACCCACTCCGCCATGCACTTCAGCCCACCCCACACACACCTGCACCAACTAGCTCCCTCATACACACACTCACACACACACACTACCCAACTTCGTCACACACATTCAGCACCCCAAGAAACCCTACCCAACTACTCAAGAAAAAGGCAAACGAGATCAGGAGGCAGACCAACCAGCTGGATATCCCACGCACTACAGAAGCGGCCATCACTCCCCCTTGCGGATAAACTGCTTCTGTTCAGCATGGTGCAGGTCAGGAGGCCATCACTCCCCCTTGCAGGTAAGGAGGCCCCAGCACCACCGCTAGTCCAAGGTGAGCTAGCAGAAGGCCCCAGCACCACCGCTAGTCCAAGGTGAGCTAGCAGAAGGCCCCAGCACCACCACTAGTCCAAGGTGAGCTAGCAGAAGGCCCCAGCACCACCGCTAGTCCAAGGTGAGCTAGCAGAAGGCCCCAGCACCACCACTAACCAAAGTGAGCTAGCAGAAGGCCCCAGCACCACCACTAGTCCAAGGTGAGCTTGCAGAAGGCCCCAGCACCACCACTAGTCCAAGGTGAGCTAGCAGAAGGCCCCAGCACCACCGCCACATTGCCAAGCTAGCAGCTAGCGCCATCTTGGTAGTTTCATCGTGGTAGCACCACCAGAGTCTGCCCCAACTGCTCCGGTATGGCTGGATGCTCAGACCGCAGGCGCCTCACCACACCACGCCACACCTCCGCCACGCCACGCCACACCATGTTGCTGTTTACGCCGCCGCAGCAGCCTGCAGCGGCTGCTCTGGTGCATACTGCAGCTGCTCCATGCTCCCGCCGGTGCTTGCACCCTTACTGGCGCTGTTACTGGCGGCATCGACCTTGTTTTTGGCGGCATGAACCTTGTTCCTGGCAGCATTGACCCTGTTCTTGACACCACCCACGACGCTGTTCCTGGCGGCATCGACCTTGTTTCTGGCGGCATGAACCTTCTTCCTGGCAGCATTGACCCTGTTCTTGACACCACCCATGACGCTGTTCCTGGCGGCATCGACCTTGTTTTTGGCGGCATGAACCTTGTTCCTGGCAGCATTGACCCTGTTCTTGACACCACCCACGACGCTGTTCCTGGCGGCATGAACCTTGTTCCTGGCAGCATTTACCCTGTTCTTGACACCACCCACGACGTTGTTTCTGGCAGCATTTACCCTTTTCCTCGCAGCATTGACCGTGTTTCTGGCACCTCTCACGACTCTGTTTTTGGCGGCACCTACCTTATTCCTGGCGGTTTTTACCTTTTTCTTGGAAGCATCAACCGTGCTCTTGACACCACTCACGACGCTGTCTTTAGCGGCCTCTACCTTGTTCTTGGCGGCTTCGACCGTGTTCTTGACACCACTCACTGCGCTGTCTTTGGCGGCCGCAGCAGCCTGCAGCGGCTGCTCTGGTGCATACTGCGGCTGCTCGGCTGCTACTGAGGCTGCTCGGCTGCATACTGAGGCTGCTCCATGCTCCCGCCGGTGCTTCCACCCTTACTGTTGATCCGCCGCCATGCCGCATCATTTGCACCCATCAGAATAGTGCTGCCACCTGCTGCCGCTGCCCCTGCCACTCCGCCCACGGCAAACCCCGCAGCCGCATTCCTAAGCGCTTGCTGGCCTGTCTCCTGCACCGCCTCCCTGGCGACCTCCTCTGCCGTGCGTGCCATGCTCATGGCCTTGTTCTTCAGATCATTATCGCTTGCGATCCTCACGACGCTGTTTCTGGCGGCTTCGACCGTGTTCTTGACACCACTCACGGCGCTGTCCTTGGCGGCCTCTACCTTATCAACCGTGCTCTTGACACCACTCACAACACTGTCTTTTGCGGCCTCTACCTTGTTCTTTGCAGCTTCGACCGTGTTTGTTACACCACTCACGACGCTGTCTTTTGCGGCCTCTACCTTGTTTTTGGCGGCTTCGACCGTGTTCTTGACACCACTCACGGCGCTGTCCTTGGCGGCCTCTACCTTATCAACCGTGCTCTTGACACCACTCACGACACTGTCTTTTGCGGCCTCTACCTTGTTCTTTGCAGCTTCGACCGTGTTTGTTACACCACTCACGACGCTGTCTTTTGCGGCCTCTACCTTGTTTTTGGCGGCTTCGACCGTGCTCTTGACACCACTCACGGCGCTGTCCTTGGCGGCCTCTACCTTATCAACCATGCTCTTGACACCACTCACGACGCTGTCTTTTGCGGCCTCTACCGTGTTTTTGGTGGCTTCGACCGTGCTTTTGACACCACTCACGACGCTGTCCTTGGCGGCCTCTACCTTGTTTTTGGCGGCTTCGACCGTGCTCTTGACACCACTCACGGCGCTGTCCTTGGCGGCCTCTACCTTATCGACCGTGCTCTTGACACCACTCACGACGCTGTCCTTGGCGGCCTCTACCGTGTTTTTGGCGGCATCAACCGTGTTCTTGACACCACTCACGACGCTGTCCTTGGCGGCCTCTACCTTGTTTTTGGCGGCTTCGACCGTGTTCTTGACACCACTCACGGCGCTGTCCTTGGCGGCCTCTACCTTATCGACCGTGCTCTTGACACCACTCACGACGCTGTCCTTGGCAGCCTCCACCTTGTTTTTCGCGGCATCAACCGTGTTCTTGACACCACTCACGACGCTGTTCTTGGCGTTCGTAAGCTTGTCCTTGAACTGATTGAAGCTAAACAGCTCCCTCCCCCGCTCAGCCCCCATCATGCTCTCCTCCTCGCCGCCGCTGCTCGCATCGCCGCCCATGTTCACCAAATTTGCAGAAAAAACCGCCTCAGGCTCGTACTCTTGCAGAGCGCGGCGATTGAAACGCGTCGCGTCATTCTCGGCGGCACTTTCGGTGGTAATTGGACGGGCCGCCGCGTCGAGTGAGGACAGGCATGCGAAGGCCAGGGCGAGGACGAAAACGAGGCGAAGCAGAGCACCCATGGCTGCGTCGACTCGAAACATTAGGAATGTTCCAAAAAAGGGTGTATCATCTGCAAAATTGCGTGGTCCCCAATCTGTCCCGAAATCATTCTGTCCTAGAACCAACACGAATCTGTCTTGAAAGTAACCTGTAAGACACTTCCGGGACATTTTCGTCTAGTGGTGCTTAGGGTTTACATTTTGACATGTCCCGAAACTGACTTGTACTCAAATCTGACTTGCACGCAGGTGAATACACCAGGGTACCCAGTTGCGCCTTGAAGACGAGCTTTCGACTCATGGCGTTGGAGGTTCGGGAGTTTTTGTGCCATTTTTGTCTGTGACAAGGCTAGCACAATACCGTTACAATTTTAGGGTTGAACAGTGACACTTTGTAGTACCTTCCGTTCTACGTTAAACTCAAAATAAATATTGAGCTAGTATAGTTAGCCTTTTATGAGCGTTTCAAACAATTTATAGGACTTAGGAAACCCAGATCCACGGAATTGTTATGAATATTTTCGATAGCAGGAAAACATTCTGATGGAAAATACACGTGCTCAAAATAGTCATAAGCGCAAATTTAATTCTCAATCTATTTTGTACAGGGATTTTATTTCGTTGAAATGCGTTGTGTTTTAAAAGTGTTCATAACCGAACTTCTTGTAATGCAATGGGTAACATATCGTAAATAACTATCTTGTGGATTTCGTCAACCGCTACGAACTTGTGGCAGGTTGATTCCTTGAACACTAACTCCACCTAATCCGATCGAAACAGTACTTTCTCGCCACCTGTCGTGAGAAAGACGTGGCACCTGCCAGCTGCGCTGCAATCGCCACGTGCACCAGGAAAAAATCGTGTCACTGCCAAAGGTGCACCACACATCCAACCACCACCCATATTGTGCTTCCTATCATGGCAACCGCTGCAAAACTACTCTAACCCACCCACAACTCACCCAATTCCCAACCTTGTCGCTTGAAAGGCATGTCTCTCTCATCGTCCCCATTCATTTCTTTCCGTAGTCTCTAGGTGTTCTACTCTTGTGTCTAGCTGTTTTTACACTTGATTAGTCAACCCTGTTCTTTAACTTCACGCTCGTTTTCCTCCATTTTCTCTGTTTCTTTGAAGTACTAGTTTATCCCTTGAACCCATTGCTTCACGCTATAGTGCGTGTTACTGGTTTGACCTCATCTATTGTCACCATAACCATCATTTTGAATAGCATGTCTTAGTTCATTAGGAACTCTCTTATCTCTCATGGACGGAACGTTTCGTACCATTTTAATGTGTCTCATTAAAATATGCTCTTCCCTTTTATGTTCCTACCCGTGGCAGTGAAACACGACAACAAGTAGCTTCAGAAATGACGCATGGTATTTCGAACCCTAAAAACAGTGATGCATGTACGTTTCATTCTGGTTACCCTATAATTGATCATGCAATTCCATATATTTTCTTAACGCTGTCATTATTTACAAGATTATTATCATGCTTTTCCACGTGATGGTTCTGTTATAATTTCTTAAACCGAAATTGAATAAAAGGCATGTCAACAACCTCTTCGTCGGTGAGTGGTTCCGTAAACTTTTCCAGCATTCATTTGTGTTTGCCCAATCGATGGCTGTATGTGTTTTTTTGCAGCCTTTGCGAATTGGCAGGTACAGATTTAAGAGAAGGTTATCTGTTTCTATCGTTGTTCTGCAGAGATTTGTATCGGTTAAAGATGAACATCAAATTTTATTTCATGCTGTCAACTTCTGTTTTTGCTTCAACAAACTCATTCACTGATTAGAACTTATTGTGGTTTTCTGTGCCATGCCAGATACATAATACACTATACCATCTGGCTACATCAAGTTATATCAACTGTGGCACATGTGTTGTACATTTTTGAAAATGAGTGAAACTGTGTTCACACTGTTTTATATGTAAAGAGTGTAATATTGTACTGTACAATATGAGGTCAAACTTAAAGCCAACCTCAGGAGTACCAATTGCAATGCAAACAAACCCACAATTGTCTCGGACGAGTCTTTGCAACCTGTCCCGTAACTGTCCTGCATGCAACCTGAAACTGTCCCGCAAGACACCTTGGGGACAGATCCGTGGATGGGTTGGGGACACATTTGAGTTCGTCCCGAAAGTGTCTTTCGGGACACTTTTTCAATTGTCCCGAAAGTGTTCGAAAAGAATCTTCTGGGATTGTTTCGGTACATTACATTACCGTCAATGATTGACGGTGAGACCCAGCGGCGCTGGGTGTTAAGAGAATCTCGATTCGGGCAAAAACTCGGCTGTTTTGCACTCACTGTGGTGCTACTACTAGCGGCCACTGCTGGTACTCGATTGAGTGGGGGACTAACGACTGAACCTGTGTCGTAGTGACACAATCTGAGGACTTAAATAGGCAGAGACTCTGTTGATGAGCGCATGAGGCGGGAGGCTTGGCGTTCCGGATGTTACGGAGTAGCCCCCGTCACCCGATCGGGCTGAGTCGCGCATTGTGATAATTATTTCCTAAAATGTGGCACTTTAACGGAGTGGTAGTGAATGGGGTTTCTGGGTTGGGTAATCTGGATGAATCGCCCTCGCGTCTTGTGCGCCGCGCGGCTGAAAGAATCGTCGGGCGCTGGGCGGCGGTCCGTGTGCAGCGCACAAGTACTACTAGTACTAGTACTATACTAGTCACTACAGACGATCGCGCTTCGGCAGCACATATGGGCCCGGCTCTCTGTTTACGCCGCACATTCGGAAAAGCAGTGCGATCCCAATAAGTCTCTGAGACGCGGTTCTTTCACGATACAAACTGTTTGCGCAACTGTAGTACGCATCATCTGCAGCAGGAGATTCGCCGTGGTTTGCGCGCAAGGCGAGTTGGGGAGGTGTTTCCCGATGGGTGGGCACAACTGCTGGAGTTCTCCCCTTCCCCGTCAAATGCAGCAGGAGCAGCGGTAGTATGATACTACGGACCTCATTCCCGAACGATGCAAGAGAGCACCAATTCAAGATTTGGTTTAGAGGCCGTTTTGTGCGATTACTTTCGTTGCGTCGCGGTCTAAAACGGTGAATCTTGATAACCGTTTGGAATCACTTTGCGCCACCACGGATGAACTTCACGAATGTGATGGACGAACGTGGTGGTGTATTAGATGCGCGCAATTGTTGGTAACTCCGCGCCGCACATTCAACAAGATTGCTCGCCGCATAATGCGGCGAGGAAGAAACTTGCGTCTCGCCAATAATTGCCGAACCAGTAATGGTTTGTAACAGAGCCACTATTCTGATTAACATCTACAAATCTACGTAAGGGAAATCAATTTTATTGATGTCAACCTAAGATGGTATACTAGTACCATCGTACAACACACCCAGTTTGCTTCATCCTGAAACTTTTCCGTCGACCAAACCTCTGCGAACCACTCCTATCCTTTCGGATGCCTATCTGTCTCATAGGTCCTCATGTTATGGTAAGAATCTCTCCATTTCTGACAATCAATCGATAGAGTGTTCTCACTCCATTGTTCCTTCACTACGGTACTTTCCATCCCTACAAATGATGAGGGCAATGCAAGCGCGACCATGTGAGGACAAGCAAAGGGCGGGTAACAAGCTGATATGGGTTAACACTAACGAATCTTCTCAGGCAGAGCGGGCAAGAGCTCACAAGATTCCATAGCGTCAGACCTGCCAGCCACGCCAGCATGTCAAATATCATTGGTTGAAGGATGAAGGTCGAGAATCGAATCCTATGCTCATCTTTGCTCATAAGCCCGAAACGGTACGTCCGTGCTCTCTGTGCTCCTTCCTGTTTCCCATGCTCTCACAGCCTTGTCATTGTCTCAGCCACGCCACCGTGTCACCCACTCTCACTCTCAGCTTCTCACACCAATTCACAGGGTCAGCGCCTGTCAGCCAGTCAATCCGTCAGCTTCTTCCGGTTCTCTCGCAGACAGGCGAGCATGTCAGCCACCGCCTTCTGATATGTACAATAAATGGAGAATCAGGTATCAATCTCTGCCTTGTTATGCTCAATCACTCAGTTCGCTCTGGTGCTCTCTCAGCCATGCCACCGTGTCAGTTGTCTCGTACGGCAGAGGGTTGAAAGTCAAGGGTGAATCATGGTTCAGTCACTATTCCCTACCCTCAATCCCTCAGCTCTCTTCTGTGCTGTTTCAGCCATGCCACCGTGTCAGCCACTGTTGTCTCGTACGGCCGAGGGGCAAACCCAAGCTCCTTCTCTGCCCTGCTCCAGTCAATGTACCTGATGGTGTGTTGAGGAGGGCGTGGGGGGAGGGAGGGGGGAGAGCAAGGGGACAGAGGATGGTGGTACTCATTCTTATTTGCTCTTACACTGTCACAATCCCACTTCCATCCACTCGCACACTCACTCACACACACACATTCTCACATACTCGCGTACACTGACAGTCTCGCACTCAGACACACCCACACTCACTCTCACTCACGCCAACTCACTCCCAAGGTCGTTTTTTAGGCGCCTCAAAAACGACCTCACACTAACATACACTCAACCTCACTCTCATACTCACACCCACTCTTACACTAACACCACACACACAACCTCACTATTACAGTAGCATAATCACTGACACTCACAGTCACACTCCCTTTCGATCGCATACTAACACACACTCAAGCTCACTTACACTCCAATTACCTTTACACTCACCCACACACTCACCCTCGCTCACTCTCGCACGCAAACTCAGTCTTATACACTCAACCTCACTCACATTCCCACCCTTCCACTCACGCCTTTACACTCACCTCACACTCATTCCAACACACATACACACACGCACACACACTCACTCCCTCACTCGACCAGCAGACCAGTGCCACTCACATTCACTCACTCTCACATCTATACACACACACACGCAAGCTCACTCTCTCACTCTCTTACTCTCTCACACTCTTACTCTCTCACTCTCTTACTCTCTCACTCTCTTAACTCTCACACACTCACCAGTAAACCTGCGCCATTTCAACGACCACAGGGTCAAGCGAGGGGTCCTTCCGGCCAATCAGAGGCAGGAGTTTCGACGCAGTGGCGGCCAATACCCACGCGACACGTGGCGGCACCGACAGCCACGGCGGCGCCACGTCAGCGCAGCGTGCGATGAGGTGGAAGTAATCGGATAAGGTCATGTTGACGGCTCCGAGGAGGTATGTTGCGTTGGGAGGGGCAGATTGCATGGCAGTTACGAAAGCAGAGGCCTGCAGCCATATACACGGGGTGGATGGAAGGATGTGCAACAAATGGTTCGGTTGCTGGCAGCTGGGCGGGTTGAAGAGATTTAGTCGTGTTGACAGCTCCAAGCAGGTACGTGGCATTGGGAGCGGCACATTGCATGACGGTAATGAAAGCAGAGGCTTGCACTCAAACACACGCAGTGGGAAAGGGGTGGAAGAAACGCAGAGTTACGCTGTTCTACGCTTTTCACATGCTGGTTTGGATAAAGGCATGTTGAAGGCTGTTGATGAAAATGAAAGTGACAACAGGAGGAACGCACTGCATGACACCAGCAAAACAGTGAAAGCAAAGGGCTTCCAGCAAAGGTGCAGCTGGTGGGTAGCTTGGTGTGGTTGTGTGTGGTGGCATGCGGTGGCATGCGGTGGCGTGCAGAGGGATTGCGGTGCTATGGGATGGCTCCACTGGTACGGAATGGAGTGATGGGCGGCACATACCACGTCCCGCACGTCGACGAATGAGAGGCCGCCACGTGGCACAAAGGGGATGCGGCGCTCCATGATGTCCAGCACCGTGCGGCACGAGCTGAGGCGGTAGTCTCCTGGTTGGGTATGGTGCATACATGTGGGGGGGAGGAAGATGGGGGTGAGGGGAAGGGGGGAGACGGGGGGGGGGGGGGGTGTGTAAGGGGCCGTGTCTTGTGGGGATGCGGCACCCCATGATGCCCAGCACTGTGTGGCACGAGCTGAGGTGGTAGTCGCCTGGTGGAGGGGATTGGATGGGGTGTGGGATTGACAGGGAGAGAGGGGTGTGCGTATGGAAGGGGCAACCAACGCCCCATGATGTCCAGCACTGTGCGGCACGAGCTGAGGTGGTAGTCGCCTGGTGGAGGGGATTGGATGGGGTGTGGGATTGACAGGGAGAGAGGGGTGTGCGTATGGAAGGGGCAACCAACGCCCCATGATGTCCAGCACTGTGCGGCACGAGCTGAGGTGGTAGTCGCCTGGTGGAGGGGATTGGATGGGGTGTGGGATTGACAGGGAGAGAGGGGTGTGCGTATGGAAGGGGCAACCAACGCCCCATGATGTCCAGCACTGTGCGGCACGAGCTGAGGTGGTAGTCGCCTGGTGGAGGGGATTGGATGGGGTGTGGGATTGACAGGGAGAGAGGGGTGTGCGTATGGAAGGGGCAACCAACGCCCCATGATGTCCAGCACTGTGCGGCACGAGCTGAGGTGGTAGTCGCCTGGTGGAGGGGATTGGATGGGGTGTGGGATTGACAGGGAGAGAGGGGTGTGCGTATGGAAGGGGCAACCAACGCCCCATGATGTCCTGCACTGTGCGGCACGAGCTGAGGTGGTAGTCGCCTAGTTGGCATGGGGTGTGTGTGGGTGATGCATGGCACATGGCACATGGAACACCCACCCACCCATGGAACATGGGTGTAGAGTGGGTTTAGAGAAGGGGATGGGATAGGAGGTAGGGAAGGGGTTGTGGGGCAGGGAAGGGGTTGGGGAGGGAAGACTTGCAACCATCACTGGCATGGCACTTTTAAGTGCCTTTTCAAGCCTAATTTTGAGAAAAGCTATCTTCCAGCTCCATACCATGCCATCCCATGCCATGCCATCCCATGCCATGCCATCCCATGCCATGCCATCCCATGCCATGCCATCCCATGCCATGCCATCCCATGCCATGCCATCCTGTTCCATAGCTCCAAGCCTCACTGTACCAAAGGGTGAGACAAAGGTGGTGAATTTTCAACCCACCTGGACCCAGAATGAGAGACGGTTGCATACAAACGAGCTCCATGCCATGCCATGCCATGCCATGCTATGCCATGCCATGCCACGCCATGCATTGCCACGCCATGCAAATCCATAACTTGTAGCCTCACCAAATTAGAGGTTGAAACACCCACCTGGGCCCAGAATGAGAGTGGGTCGCATGCACACCAGCTCCAACCCGTGCTCCTCCGCATACCCCCTCGCCCTCTCCTCTGCCTCGATCTTCGCCCGGTAATACGGCCACCCCCCCACCACCTCTCTCGCGTACGGCGAATCATCACTCGCCACCTGTCCGGGGTCGTTAAAAGCACCCACAGTCCCTGACGTGGATGCGTAGACCACCCGCTTTACCCCGGCTATAAGAGCCGCTTCTAGAACGGCTAACGTGCCGTCAACGGTGGTTTGGTCGAGGGAGGGGTGCTGAGCGGTGGAGCTCGGTTGAGGGGAAGGCGTGGGGGTGGGGGGTTGTTGAGGTTGTGGTGTTGCTGCTGCTGCTGCTGCTGCTGACATGGCGGCGCGTGAGTGGATGACGACTCCTGCCAGGTGGAAGAGACCTGGGGAAGGGAAGGGATACAATCACCACCTGGGGAAGGGATACAATCACCACCTGGGGAAGGGATACAATCACCACCTGGGGAAGGGATACAATCACCACCTGGGGAAGGGAAGGGATACAATCACCACCTGGGGAAGGGAAGGGATACAATCACCAGCTGGGGAAGGGATACAATCACCACCTGGGGAAGGGATACAATCACCAGCTGGGGAAGGGATACAATCACCAGCTGGGGAAGGGAAGGGATACAATCACCAGCTGGGGAAGGGATACAATCACCAGCTGGGGAAGGGATACAATCACCAGCTGGGGAAGGGATACAATCACCAGCTGTGGAAGGGATACAATCACCACCTGGGGAAGGGATACAATCACCAGCTGGGGAAGGGATACAATCACCAGCTGGGGAAGGGATACAATCACCAGCTGGGGAAGGGATACAATTACCAGCTGGGGAAGGGATACAATCACCACCTGGGGAAGGGATACAATCACCAGCTGGGGAAGGGATACAACCACCAGCTGGGGAAGGGATACAATCACCAGCTGGGGAAGGGATACAATCACCACCTGGGGAAGGGATACAATCACCACCTGGGGAAGGGATACAATCACCAGCTGGGGAAGGGATACAATCACCACCTGGGGAAGGGATACAATCACCACCTGGGGAAGGGATACAATCACCACCTGGGGAAGGGATACAATCACCACCTGGGGAAGGGAAGGGATACAATCACCACCTGGGGAAGGGATACAATCACCACCTGGGGAAGGGAAGGGATACAATCACCACCTGGGGAAGGGATATAATCACCACCTGGGGAAGGGATACAATCACCACCTGGGGAAGGGATACAATCACCACCTGGGGAAGGGATACAATCACCACCTGGGGAAGGGATACAATCACCACCTGGGGAAGGGATACAATCACCACCTGGGGAAGGGATACAATCACCACCTGGGGAAGGGATACAATCACCACCTGGGGAAGGGATACAATCACCAGCTGGGGAAGGGATACAATCACCACCTGGGGAAGGGATACAATCACCACCTGGGGAAGGGATACAATCACCACCTGGGGAAGGGATACAATCACCACCTGGGGAAGGGATACAATCACCACCTGGGGAAGGGATACGCGGTTGGAATGCTGCAGGGATACGCTGTCGGGCTGCCTGCAGTGCAGAGGCATCTGACTGTAGAGTCTACGCTCGTCGCTCACAACCTGTCCACGTTTCTTTTGAGCTGTGCGGTTCTAAAATGCACCTCAATGTGTGGGTGAGTGGGTTGGCAGGGTGTTGGGCTGTCTGAAGCTTCAACTAGTAGATTCACGGCCTAAGACGAATTGAAAACTTGCCTGGATGTGCGGGCGGGGCGGCAGGGCGTTGGGTTGTCTGCAGAGCTTCTTCTTCTTTTTGTGGGCTTTTGGGTGAACCCAGGAGGAAATCAGGCCCCCATTCCCACGCCAGTCCACTGAGAGCACGTGGTAACACGAGACCTTCAGGTAACCCACTCCCATCTTCTCATGGTGACAGGTAGGTTGACAGCTGTAAGCTGACTGCTAGCAGCTGTGAGCCCAGGAAGACTGTCGTCTGGATAAGTGGGTGGGACGGCAGGGCATCCCGCTGTCTGCAGAGGCACACCTGGTGGCTTGGGAAAAGAGGCGACGTTTGAGTCGATCAAACTAAAGCCTACCTGAATGCGAGGGTGGGGCAGCAGGGTGTTGGGTTGCCTGCAGAGGCACCTGACTGTGTGGCCCGCTGCTAGCAGCTGCTGCAGTTGATGCGAACCCAGGAATCTGTAGAGCGGTGCAGAGCGGTGAAGATGTGTGAAAGCCTAAAACCTACCTGAATGCGAGCGTGGGGCAGCAGGGTATTGGGTTGCCTGCAGAGGCACCTGACTGTGTGGCCCGCTGCTAGCAGCTGCTGCAAGAGATGCGAGCCCAGGAATCTGTAGAGCGGTGGAGAGGGGTGAAGATGGGAGAAGATGGGTGTGGATTGGTGAAAATGTGCAAAGATGAGTGTAGATGGACGTAGATGGGTGCAGAGAGGTGTAAGTGTGTGTAGGTGGTGGTAATGCTTTGCATTCGGGAACTGACATTGAAGTGTAACCAGCAGCAGTGCCACTCGCTGTGAGCGCCTGAATGACCGCAAACCCTTTGAAACTCAGCATTGCACGTGACGTGATATAAGGTCAGCCCGCAAACCACTCTGCACTTTCACTCGTACCCTGTAGTGTAGCGCCAGTCACGGCGAACACCTGACCGTCAGTTGGCTTTGGGAATTTGAAATAACTACCTAGAATGATAAAGAAACGCACAATCTAGAATAATTAAAAAAAAAAAAAAAAAAAAAAAAAGAAAAAAAAAAAACCTAGAATGATAAAAAACAAACAACCTAGAGTGATCGTCCGTACCCTGTACCGCCAGTCACGGCGAACACCTGACCGTCAGCCGCCGCGTCGCCGCCAGTCGCGCCGCTCGCCGCGGCTTTCACGCGGGTACCATCCCCGCGCATCGCGCTAGAGCCGTCGGCGCCGGTACTATTACTAATGCTATTCCTACTGGTCGTTGGTATAGTTCTCTGACTGACACGCTCGCTAGAAGCTGCCCCGTCAGTAAATGATGTCTTACCACGCACGTTACTGTTGCTATCACTCCTACTGCCACTCAAAAACGCTCTATTGGACGTCGCGTTACCGGTAGTGTTGCGAATCAAAGGAGCTGGCTTGTATCGTGGCGACTTACAACTTAATCTACAAGCGCCAGTTGTGGTTTGCGAATGTAGCCGACTGGTTGTCACAGATGGAGTCTCGTGCCGCGAAAGACGGTGACTGTGGCTGATTGTGCTACAAGCGAGGGGAGCATTGTGCGGAGAGAGCAACCGTGTGCACTGAAAAGTGCTACTAGCGGGAACCATGGTGGCTAAGACTGTGCTACAATCGCGGAAGAAGACGGGGATTGCGGACCATGCGAGTGACTAAATCGAAATTTGCATCGACAGGCAGACATTGCGAAGGGCACTGTCGATATGCCTATAGCGAAGTATCAGACTGGGATTGGGAGAGGAGTAGCAGGCGAGGAGAATGGATCGGTATTGCTTGGTCCGCTATCCGTTATCATCATCATAGACCGAGGTGCCTCAGATCGTTTTCTCGAACCACGGTTTTTGTTTGATACCGACATTTACCGTGTAAGACCGCACTGACGGTTGGGACGCTCGCTTCCAATGAGAATGCCCTCTGGTTTCGCTCACCATGTTCCCTTGAAGGTACAAATATCAGTATTTCAGAGTGATACAGTACGGTACGCTTGGTCTCAAATCATGTTTGTCTTTCTGCCAAATTAGGTCGTCTTGCCTCGTTTCGCGTCGCGTTAGGTTTTCCCAATTCGAGGCATCGCTGACTCGCTGACTGGCTGGTTTGCTGATTAGTTTCGAGATTCCCAGTCTGCCTTGGGAATACCGCGTGCTCCACTTCAGACTTTCGGAATCCTGGCAGTGGTATTTCGCCGTCGAATTCGGCGATCGTGTTCACGCCATAATTGTTAGGATCGTGCACACGCCGTCGATTTCGGCTTTCGTAGCCAACCTTACACTATCTCTCGGCAGTCCCTAGGCGAATCCCTGACAGTTTACGACAGCCCGTCTAGCTTGTCTTGCCCGTTTCAGTCGTTTCGCCGGCCTCGCCCGTTTCTCGCCTGCCTCGGCCGTTTCGCCCTTCTCGCCCGTTTCGGCCGTTTCGACCTTCTCGCCCGTTTCGGCCGTTTCGCCCTTTTCGCCCGTTTCGGCCGTTTCGCCCGCCATGCCGCAGCGGCACTCGCGCAACTGCAACGACCGCGCGCACTTCACGTACGAGGAGCGGCGCAAGCTAGGGTTCGGCACCCAGAAGGAGCGGCTCGGGAAGGACTCGATAAAGCCGTTCGACGCGTGCGCGCTGTGCCTTCAGGAGGCCGTCGATCCGCTCAGCTGCCGCAGCGGACACGTGTTCTGCAAAGAATGCATCTACACGTGTCTTCTGACGCAAAAGAAAGACATTAAACGGTACGTGATTTGATGTAAGGTCGAACAGCGGACGTGCGTGCAGTATGTGATTATACCAAAGGGTGATTATGGGGAGCGAGCGGCTGGGGGGCGAGCGGCGCAAGCTAGGGTTCGGCACGCAGAAGGAGCAGCTGGGAAAGGATTCCAGCAAGCAGTGAGATTGTATCGACATGTGACTGTATCAAGGTTGTGACTGTATCAGAGAGCTAGGGTTCGGCACGCAGAAGGAGCGGCCGGGAAAGGACTCGATCAAGCCGTTCGACACATGCGCGCTGTGCTTTCAGGAGGCCGACGACCCATTGAGCTGCTGCAGCGGACACGTGTTCTGCAAAGAATGCAGCTACAGCTGCCTGCTCACTCAAAAGGAGGACATCAAACAGTTAGTTTATTTGGCATGTGATGGTATCGAAGGGTGATTGTTGAGAAAGAGAATGGTTGAGCCGCTGAGCTGCCGCAGCGGACATAACTTTTGCAAAGAAAGCATCCACAGCTGTCTGCTGACGCAAAAAGGAGTGTGCGCGCCAGAGGCAGGGCTCAGAGTGAGTGGCGAGATCTAGGGTTCTGCTTTTGGGGCTGCACAAAAGTCGCGTAAGTTAGGGTTTGGCGCGCATACCGAATGGCTGGGAAAGGGAAGGACTCCCTCCCTCTTCCCTCTTTCCTCCCTCTTCCCCCTTCCCTCCCTCTTCCCTCCCTCTTCCCTCCCTCTTCCCTCTTTCTCCCTTTTTCCTTCCTCTCCCTTCCTTCGTCCTCTCCGCCCCGCACCCTCTCCACCCCTCAACTCACCCTCTCCACCCCTCGGCTCACCCTCTCCACCCCTCGGCTCACCCTCTCCACGCTTGCAGCGTGGGAGGCTCATCAGCAGCAGGAGAAGGAAATTACTCTTCTTTTCTTTCTTCCTTTTTAAGAATTCTCAAAACCAGGTGATTCTCTGTTTGGTTCTCCGTATTTTCCCTTGTTACACCCCCCTTTTCTCCCCCCTCTCCTCCCCCGCACCCTCCGCCCTCCACCCCACGCACAGCAAGCGGGCGGCGTGGGAGGCGCAGCAGCGGCAGGAGGAGGAGGAGGAGAGCGAGCGAGCAGCAGCGGAGAGAGCAAGAGAGCTCGATGCTTTTGACCGCCAGAACCATGCTGCACTACCCCCCACTGCCGGTAACGGTGCTGCTGGTGCTACTGTTGGTAGTGCTGCCGGTGCTGCTGCCGGTGCTGCTGCCGGTGCTGCTGCCGGTGCTGCTGCCGGTGCTGCTGCCGGTGCTGCTGCCGGTGCTGGTGCTCCTTCCTCTGTGAAACGCCTCCGTGCTGCTGATGCAGCCACTGCTTCTGCTGGTGCCATTGTTGCCGTCAGTGCTGCTGCTACTCCCGCTGCTGGCAGCGAAACACCCTCACTTGCCGGAGCAGCAGCAGGAGGAGGGGGGGGATTAGCGGGTTCGGGCAGTGGGAGCGGGCGGATGAATTTCCAAGGAGCGAATTCCGTGAAAACAACGGCATTTGAAGAAGAGGCAGTGAGAACGATGCGAGCCTATTGGCTACCTTCGGCCACTCCTGACGCTCCCAAGAAAGTCGACCCACCCCCCACCGACACCACGTGTCCGGAAGGCTGCGGGAAGCTTCGTCTGAAGGACCTTTTCCCAATTGTTTTCACGCCGCTGCCGCCGCCGGACCAGCCTCTTGGCTTCGGCGGAAGCTCAGGCGGAGGTTCGGGAGGAGGTTCGGCGAAGCAGGTGACGACGTCGGCTGCGGTGAGCAACAGTGGAGCGCGGTACATGTGTCCTGCATGCTCCACCACCCTCACCAACGCTTCGAAACTCTCGGCTGTAGTCGCATGCGGGCACGTGCTGTGCCGGCGGTGCATTGAGAAATTCGTTTCTGCTGACGGGGCTTGCACAGTCTGTGGGACAGCTGTGGAGGGGGGTGGTGCTGCTGGGAACAGGAAAGGGAAAGGAGGGGAGAAGGAGGAGAAGGGAGGAGGGGAGAGGAGGGGATTGGTGGAGCTGGCGTGTGGAGGGACGGGGTATGCAGGGCATGGGGATGGGCTCGTGGCAAAGGCGTTCAAGCCGCTGGGGAGTGGGCCTGCTGCTGCTCCTCCTATCAAACCCACACGGCTGCTCTGATTGCCCAGTGGTCAGGCCAGGTGTTTCCGTTCCGCTTGGCAGTCGCAGCTTACTTCTGTACCAGAGGGGGTTGGTTGGTGGCTTGAGGGGGTTGGGAGGAGGGAAAGGGGTTCTCCGGGGTTGGTGAAGGAGAGAAGGTGGCTGTGTTGTCTGTCAACACACCTCTATCTGACTGAAGGGAGCATCTATGACGAGCGCATTTTTTTCCCTTGCTTTTTCGTTCCAAAATCACCAATTATGGCACGGTACAAGTGCTGCTTTTTAATTTCCGTCCCATGTTCTTATGCGGTACTATCTTTACATCCAGTCCAGGCCAGAGTGAGTGCCTTCATGTCACCTTCCCAGTAGCTGTAGTCTCTGGTGGGTCACCAGGTGGTCATCTTCCCCTGGAGTTGCAAAAAGTCACTTCCTGAGAGTCAGTGTTTGCCCCTTCACCTGCCCAGAGCAGTCTGTCTGGTTCCTCTGAGATGACCCTCAACCATTCCAGCCAGTTGCCCCACCCACTGAATCAAGCAATCCACAAGCAAAACAGGCCACAGGCTCGGGTGGAAAGTACCTCACTTCTTCCAATCCAAGAATCCTGGGCATTTGAACCCCAAACACCATGTTCTTCGGATATGAATTGGACTTTGATTAAAAGCAGAACATTTATAACAACTGTACAGTTATCTACATAAGTGTCAAAATTGGGATACTTCTCTACTGGCCTCCCAAGGTTTGGGTTGCTGGCCAGCTGCTGGTACGCTACTAAAATGAAGGTCCACAAACGAGGCCCTCCTCTCCTGTGGCACTGCCGCTGAAACTCTCCTCCTGTACAAGCCGCTCCGTTATAAGCTTCTGCAGGTAACCCTAGCGCTAAAATCGGCTTAAGCCCTTCGATCTAAAACCCTTCGCAGATGAAGGGCCCTCCACGCGAAACGAAATATGGGTTAGTATGTTAGGGTTTCCAGGCGCCTGCGACGGTTTGTACGCGTTTGCGACAGACTCTAGGCGTCAACGACGGGTCGCAACGCGAGGACAACGATCCAATCAGCAGCGACGGGGCACAGCATGGGCTTGGGCCACTGAAACGACTGTTTCTGCTCCGCCGACACGTCGCGCTGACGCTTGCGATCTGCCACGTCATCTATCTCATCAGAGGAAGTCTCTACTTCGTCGTAAGACCGCTTGCGCTTAGATGATTCGCTTTTCCCACCCACCGCTGCTGTTGCTGGTGCGATTGAATCAGAATCAGAATCGGAATCGAGACCAAAGTCGAACGGGGAGGTCGGGGAGCGGGGAGTGGCGCAAACCAGCGCCGCTTTCCGCGCGCCCGCTTCCGCCACGCCCGCGACTTCCTCCCCCTCACCCCCCTCCGCAACCTCCGCGAGGAAAGGGTGCGCCAGGAGCTCCGCCGCAGTCCACCGCTCCTCGGGGTTCCTCCGCAGGCAGCACTCAATAAACCCGCGTACTGCCGCCGGAACCTCCGCGGCAATCCGCGGCATCGCATCCGTGCAGGAAACAGCGTAAAGCACGGAGAACATGCCACCTGTCACGTCGGACCACGCGGGGCGCCCAGTCGCCATCTCGAGAACAGTGCATCCTACCGACCAGATGTCGACCGCGGCGGTCTGCGCCTCCCCGCGCGCCACCTCCGGCGCCATCCAGTTCGCCGTTCCGCGCAGCCCGTGGCTTGCGCCGGTGGCGGCGGCGGCGGACCAACCCGCGGCTCCGCCCGCGCTGACGCCCGCTGCAGTCGTGCCGGCGGCTGCTGCGGGGGCGGGGGTGCTGCTGACGCGGAAGGCGGCGCCGAAATCGGCGATTTTGACGTGGCCGTCGCTGGTGAGGAGCAGATTTAGGCTCTTAATGTCTCCGTGAACGACGCTCCGCGCGTGGAGATAGCACAGCCCCTTAACGACGTCCTTAGTGAACTTTTTCAGAGTCAACGTATCTAGCCCGCGGCAGCGCCCCGATGGGGATCTCAAAAGCCCCGCGACGGAGCCGCCCGCAGCATATTCTAAGTACAGGTTGCGAACCTTCGCGTCGCCTTCCTGCGACCAATCCGCGCCGCGGAATCCCACGATCTGCTCGCACTCGAGCGTGGAAAGAATGGAGATCTCGTTTTCCAAAGCTTCGACAGCGCCGTTGTTGTTTCTCAACCGCTCTTGTTGCTGAGGCGCCGCCTGCGACGCTAGCGACGATGCGGACTTCACTGCGAAAAAATCGCCCGACGCGTTGTCGACTGCCATGTGCACGCGGCCGAACGAGCCCGACCCTAGTAAACGACCTCGCTTCCATTCTGCGGGAGTGTCGGAGCTTCTAAACTCGATAGCCATCTCGTAAATGAGAGAAACAGCCTTCGGGAATTCTAGTCTTAGCTGTGAATGTTGCTGGGCTTGCAACACAACTCCAGCTGGTTGCGTGAACGGGAATGAGCTGCAGTCCAGCGTACTCAAGAGTAGATAGAGAAGTCGAGGAGTCACTGCCGCTGAACTGAACTCTGCTATGGTTTTGAGTTGCATTGCTCTTGCATCCCATCACGACGCTGAGCCATCTGCTTATTTACACGCGAGAATGTTCGTCGCTTCGCAATGGTGGTGCGTCTGGCTTCGCGCGTGGGACCGATGCGCTGTTTTTTGCGCGGCTTTCCCCTTCTGCCTTTCCCTACACGCTGCAGCTGGGGAAGGTTGTGGTACGGTGGAGTAGACGCATGGACGATCGAGATTTGATGGATGAGATTTGCTCATTGCTGCTGGCAAGATGGGCAGGCCAGAACATGACAGCATTAGCAGCATAGGGTGAACGCCTAGAATAGATCTGCGGCGTCGAAATATGCTGTAAACATTTCCCGATACTGCCCCAACAGATAGCGATCCGAGATTTGCGGGTCCCGGCGCAAAACGACAGAAATTTATTGCCCCCAAATATGGATCGTGCAGCGTGGGAGCGGGAGGGGAGGAGGGCGAGGCGAGGCGAGGGGGGACCAGGGGCGGATGATGGAGGAGGTGGCGAAGTGGCGAGTTCATCGTGACAACGCAACCATCGACCAGATGTGCGGGCTGGCGTTGTAAATGTGCCACGTGGAAGGGCCAGCGATTGCAAACAAGAAATTTCTGTCTTTGGTAATGGATTCTGGTTTGCCACCGTTCAGATCGTCGCTTTGGTTCTGATCCAAACCGAATTGCATTGATTTCCTGGTTTTTCATGTTGACGCGGCAACCGCACGAGTTTTATGACCACCACACCAGGACCTCACGTCGGACCGCTTTTGTCAGAGCCATGGCACATGCACTGGGAAGGAACCGCTGCCTGAAGCTTCCTCATAATCTCAGTCACATGGGTCCCATCGAGAAACGCGAGGCGTAGATTGCCGGAGGGGCCACAGAATTCTCCGATTGCCATGGAGGGCCTTTGGGGACTTGCCCTGGCGTGCGCCCTGCCTTGGGATTTTCAAACAAGCGAGCGGCTTGAGGCACGCAACAGTGTGTCGATCGTTTGAACTTATTGTGTGCGGTTTGCGGTGAAGTGAATGGCGAAGAAATGAGAGCCACAGCCGCGTTGGCTAAAAATAAAAAAAATCTGGTTGGTCCAATCCAAACTTGCAAGTACAGTACAGCACGGAATCCTTGTGGACAATGCGGCTGACGCTGGACAGCGCGAGGAATACGGTTGGCTGTGCGAAATGCTATGGAGCGGCTTTTACGCAATCGACGTGGATTCGTGCAGTGCTGGACAGCGATGCTGCAACTTGGATTGACCGCTAAAATATCGCGGCTCGATGCATTTGTGTGTGTGGGTGGAGCAAAGCAAACCCAGACAGTATCAAGATCTAGAAGGATAGCACGAGCTGTGCTGCAGTAACGTTGTAGACAACACTGAAGACAGGGGACAAAAATAATACCAGTCACCCTTCAACGCCAGAAGTTTGCAGTGCTGTATACCGACCGACGATGCATGAAGGCTCACGAGTTGAATAAATTCAATGTACCATCCTTGGGAGACTCAACAGGTCACCAATCACGAAGCAACTCATTCCACACGCGTAAATGGTGGTCATATTGGACGCCTTTTCATCGAATTTCCTGTGCACCTCTAATATTTCAGGGTAATTGTAAAAAGGAAGAATGAACAGCATGAGATCTCACCACGTGAACTGGAGTGTAGTGAATGTACAGTACGACCTGCAGAGTGGGGCACCAGGTTCTCAACCAGGTGCCTCCTCCCTTCACCTCATGTCACACACATGAGCTGAGGCCGAAGCCGTCCACATGATGTCGCAGGTGTCCACGAAGGGGCACCTCCATTTCCTCCTGGCTGCAGAATCCAAAACCACCTCTCAAGACACGTGACATGAACGAGTTCAATTCAATGTCACTTCGCTCCTTGTCTTTCCCCGAAGCGCGCAATCCAGAACGTGCTCGTTCATCCTTCGTTTTTGGGATCCATTTCGGCCTCCCATATTTCATCCCCCTGCTCGCTCCTCGCCCCCACATCCGTCACACTGAATGCAGGCCCGCAATGCTGGCCTTTTGTTTCATACTCACTACAAATGTATGCGTTTACTGAACACTGTTTTCTCACAGAGAAGACAAAGTTAATGAGTTGCTGTCTTCTTTGCTACAAACAGTTCATTAATTATATCTTATATCGATGTAAAACTTCTCTTTCTATGCATACGGAGACATCCACCCCCCTCCCCAACCCTAAACCCTTTTTCCTTTTTTGTTTGTCTGACGACAATGCAACCAAAATAGCAGGGGCACATTAATAAAACGACAGGCACCAGCAGCAGCTGGCACTATTTTGTCCAGTATCACCACCACCACCCCCTCAACGGTGCCCCCCGGAGGTCTACTAGCTGCAGCAGCAGCCAAGAGCAGTGGACGAAGGATAGTCGAGGCAGTTTGGAGTATTCTTGCACCACCAGCACCACCGAAAGAGGCGGTTCCGAGTTCAGATGACTCTTAAAACAGACTCCCCTCCTCCACATAGCACCTCAAGAGAGCTCAAAGGGCATCCCTCCTCTCTACAGCCTTGTAAAATTTCCCGCACCACCAGCAAAAGCGGCAGAAGCGCCAGAAGCAGCAGTGCTCGCAGTAAAACCTTCCCCAGAAGAGCCTTCACCGATCCCCCCCTCACCAGGAGTCCCAGCAGCACCCCCCAGTGTGGTGGCAGCAAAGAGCAAAGGATCAATGAGGGATGAGGCGGTCTGGAAGACAAGCATGTCTCCCAGGATGTAGGCTGGTGGATGGGGTAGGTGTGGGGTGTGGTGGAGTGGGGTGGGGTGTGGTAGGGGGGTTATTGAAGCGCCTCAAGTACCAAAGAGCAGAGGATCAATGAGGGATGAGGCGGTCTGGAAAACATGCATGTCTCCCAGGATGTGGGGGTGGGGTGGGGTGGAGTGGAGTGGGATGGGGTGGGGTGCAGTGGAGTGGGGTGGATTAGGGTGGGCGAGGGTGGAATGGGGTGGGTTCGAGGGGTACATATTGAGGCGCTTCAAGAACTGAAGAGCAGAGGGTCAACGAGGGATGAGGCAGTCTGAAAGACAAGCATGTCTCCCAGGATGTAGGCTGTGGGTTTGAGTGCGGTGGGGTGGGGTGGGGTGGAGAGGAGTGGGTTAGGGTGGGCGGAGTACGTTGGAGCAGGGTGGAATTTGAGGCGCCTCAAGAACTGATGGGCAGAGGATCGATGAGAGTCGATGATATTGAAATCACTTCTGAGAATTCTCAAAACTGATTTCAATATAGCCTGAAAGACAAGCATGTCTCCCAGGATGTAGGCTGGGGGGAGGGGGCAAGAAGAGGTGCAGTGTGTTGGGGCGGGGTGGAGTGCGGTGGAGTTGGGAGGGGTGAAGTGACTCAAGAACTGTAGAGATGACGCAGTCTGGAAGTTCATGCCGCCTAGGATGTAGGCTGGGAGGAGGGGTGGGGTGGAATGCGGTGGAGGGGGGTGGGGAGGGTGGGGTCATGGGGTGGGGAGGGGTGGGTTACAGTTGGGTGGAGTGGGTTTGAAAAGGGTGAGGCTCCTATGTATCGCACACACACAGACCACTGCAGCACTCGAGAGACAATTGAGAACGTGAGCTGTGTCTCATGGCATACGAACCTAGACAAAAGAGCCACGCAAAGGCATACCATGGCTCGTGGTCCAAGGTATGTTGAAATCACTTATGGGAATTCTCAAGAATTCTCAAAAGTGGTCCAAGGCCCCACGAATCGCGCACACACAGCACATAGCAGGGCTCCAGAAACACACAGTTGACAGCACTACCAGTCACATGCTTACTGTGCTTGAAAGCACAAGTAACCACACCAGACAGCAGCACCAGAAGTTCCAACAAAGGCTTACCATAGCTCGTGGTCCAGTATTTCACATATTGCACACACGGCTGATAGCAGGGCTCTAGAAACAACTGAGGAAACAAACTCACAGTTGAGACAGAAGCTTACCATAGCTTGTGGTCCAGGGGCCCCACATATCGCACATACTCACCAAATAGTTGCTCCAGAGACAGTAGGAACACCCATGCCTCATTGCACGACCCAGAACAACCAAACAGAAGCTTACCATAGCTTGTGGTCCAAGGCCACACATATTGCACACACACGGCCGATAGCAGAGCTGAAGAGGCAGTAGAGACCAGACCACAATCTATGACATTATGACTAGTTACAAGCAAACTGAGATGACCCAAACAGAAGCTTACCATAGCTTGTGGTCCAGGGGCCCCACATATCGCACATACTCACCAAATAGTTGCTCCAGAGACAGTAGGAACACCCATGCCTCATTGCACGACCCAGAACAACCAAACAGAAGCTTACCATAGCTTGTGGTCCAAGGCCACACATATTGCACACACACGGCCGATAGCAGAGCTGAAGAGGCAGTAGAGAACAGACCACAATCTATGACGTTATGACTAGTTACAAGCAAACTGAGATGACCCAAACAGAAGCTTACCATAGCTTGTGGTCCAAGGCCCCACGTATCGCACACACACAGCCGATAGCAGCGCTCCAGACACAGTCGAGAACACGAGCTTGAGAGAGTAGCTGAGCGTTCTCTTTATTAGCCACACGATCTGCACTCCTGTGGCCTTCACAGGGCTTATAGCGAGCCCCTGGCTGGCTTGTAGCGAGGATGAAGGTGGTGGCGGCGGTGGGAAGAGCAGGCGGCGGAAGGCAGTGAAGGTATCCGTTAAAAGCTGCACTGCTACACTGGATAGTGGGCTCAGGAAGTGGGCTGGTGGGGAGGGAAGAAAGGAGGGGAAGAGGGAAGGGAGGAGCGGGCGGGGGAAAAAGAGCACAACGATATGAGTTGCACTGATTTAGTATCAGTAGGTTTGGGACTTAGATTGAGCAAAGGATGAGCTTGGAAATTTGGGAGGTGTGGCAAGAAAGCAAGGGAGTCAGTAGTTTCTGGGTGTCCCAAGAAATGACGAAGCAAGAAGGGCAGCAGTGTCCAGGCGCCGTAAATAATGATGCTGAAAGGAATGCAGCATTGATTACGCACAAGAAATATTGAGCGCATCTCTGAGCAAAAGCTGAAATTTCTAGGCGCACGGTAAGAGCAGAACGCAGGCATGAAAGGAAAAGAAGAGAAAACAACAGGGAGAGGGAAGGGAGAGGGAGAGGCATACGCTCGTACCTCTACTTTTGGGCCGCCTCAAAAGAGGCGCCGATTGAAAGGGGGACAAACAGAAGGCAGGCATGAAAGGAAAGATAGAGAATATGGGAGGGAGAGGGAGAGGCATACGCTTGTACCTCTGACGTTGGTGATTGTAACGGATTTGATTAAAGGGGAGCCCGTGAGACCTCTGTTAACCTTGCGAATGGCTGACTGGGTGGGGTCTGGTGAGGGGCGGTGGGAGGGAGGAAGGAGAGAGAAGACAATGGAGCAAGGGGCTCTCAAAAATTGCCTGTAGGTACTTTCCTGCTGACCTTGCAAATGGCTGACTGGGTGGGGTCTGGTGAGGGGTGTTGGGAGGGAAGGAAGTGAGCGACGGGAAGAGCAAAGGGAAGAGCGGAAGACAATTCAGACATTGCCTGTAAGTCGCCTGCCAACCTTGCGAATGGCGGACTGGGTAGGGTGTGGAGAGGGGCGATGGGAGGGAGGGAGGACGGAGAAGAAAAAGGGGAAAGTGGCTACTGAGACGTTTCAAGAGGACTTTGAAGTCAACTAAAAAATGACTTTTGTTTCGCTTCAGAAACTGCTTGTGAGTCCTCCCCTGCTGACCTTCCAAAGGGCCAGCTTGTTGGTTTTAGGGTTTACGGTCGTTAAGGAGGAGGGAAGAAGTGTCTTTAGAGAAGCCAGAAAGGGGTCCTTCTCTCGCACACAGTCCCTCTCCCTGCTCTTCGACATGATTTATCTCTCACCCTTGGTTCGTTTCAACAGCCATAGGCCAGATACGGAACGAGCCACATAATAGTGCTTCCCTCTCTCCTTCGTTCTCTCTCCCTCGCACTCCCACCGTTCATAACCCTCCCACACGACCATCTCACCTTTGGTCAGCTTCCAGAGCCAGCAGGCAGACGCGGTGTGAGCCAAGGAAGTACATCGCTGTCTGCTTTTCATCTTCTCCTTTCTCACGCCGTTCGCACCTCGCCCACACAATCAGCTCACTCACCCTTGGTCAGCTTCCACAGCCAGCGGGCACACCCAGGACAAGCCAAATCCAAGTGCTTCCCTCCCTTGCATTTCCTCAGCTAACTCACCCTTGGTCAGCTTCCACAGCCAGCGGGCAGACACGGTTCGAGCCACATAGAAGTGCTCCAGCGCCCTGCGCACTGATATCACCGCCATCTGAATGGGGGAGAGGTTGGGGAGAGGAGAGAAGGGAGGGGGAGGTGGGAATGGGGGTGAAACGGGGGAATGGGGATCTTGCCAAATAGAAGTGCTCCAGCGCCCTGCGCACTGATATCACCGCCATCTGAATGGGGGAGAGGTGGAAGGGGGGGGGGGGGGGGGGGGGGGGGGGGGGGGGGGGGATTGGGGAAGGGAGGGAGAAGGGGAAGGGGGAATCCTCTGCGACTAGATAGATCATACGAATGCTCCAAGCAAGGGCAACAACGCCACCGGGTGCAAGAGCAGGACTTGTAGATGCTGCAGCAGGAGTACCACATTACAACGTGCGGACGATCATTCCTGTGAAAACTACCACCTTTGTGCATTCAGCAGCCAATGCTTAGGCTTGCGTATAAACGACCCCCGTCCAACACCACTCCAGGCCAGGGGCTGTACCACCACCGGTTACCATCTTCTTGGAACATCACTAGACTATTGGATAATACCTCCTGCAAATACACATCCCTCGTGGTACTCCTGCAGCAGCAGCTACAAGTGCTGCTCTGGCACCCAGTGGCATTGCTGCCCTTGCTTGTTGTTCAGCCAGTGTTGTTTGTGCCTGCAGCAACAGCACTGCGCCTGCAGCAACCGCACTGTGCCTGCAGCAACCACACTGTGCCTGCAGCAACCGCACTGTGCCTGCAGCAATCGCACTTCGCCTGCAGCAACCGCACTGCGCTTGCAGCAACCGCACTGCGCCTGCAGCAACCGCACTGCGCCTGCAGCAACCGCACAGTGCCCCTGCACCAATGCTCTTCTAAAGAACCTCAATATCATCTCAAAGCTAGCCCTACTCACTTCCCACACCCAATGCACCAAGCCACTTTTGAGATGCCTCAACATTTGAGTCTACTTTTGAGGCGCCTCAAAAGCATGCTCTCCTAAGGAACCTCAATATTGTCTCAAAGCCAGCCCTAGTCACTTCCCAAACCCAATACACCAAGCCCACTCACCTCCCTAAGCGACAGCCACACCGTCCCTGCAGCAATCCGCCCTGCACCCATATTCCGCCACAACGCTGAAATCTTCTTATAAGACGTCTCAAACCCCAAACCACCAACCCCACATCCTCACCTCTCTGAGAGACAGCCACGCCGCCCCTGCAGCAATCCGCCCTGCACCCATATTCCGAAAAGCTGAAATCTTCCTCTCCCTCTCCGCTGCTTCCACTGCTCTCCTCCTCTCCCTCTCCCTCCTCGCCTCCCCTTCTTCCTCCTCCTCCTCCTCCTCCTCCTCCTCTTCCAGACTGGGGGCCTGAGCCTCTATATAGTCTGCAAACAGGGGTAGGATCTGGATAAGGCTGTTTCTAACAGCCATTATCAGCATGCCACGTGGACAGAAGGCGGAGTAGAGAGATCTCAGCTTCACAGTGTAGAGCTTTCCATCCACTCGTTCCGTGATGACGTTGGCAGATCTACTGACGTCAGCGCGAACATCGTCATCTTTAGAAGCTGCTGATGCTGTTCCGGAAGCTTTGTTCCCCTTCCCGTTGCTCTGCTCCTTTTGGAAACCTGTTCCCGAGCCTGTGCGCGAGGCTTGGTAAGTCCATGGCTGGGAGGTCTGGTCCGAGGCTGTTTCGACTCGACAGTGTGCAACGGGGAGGAAGTGTGAGAGGAGGGGAGAGGGGGATGAGTGGGAGATTAGAGCGGTGGGACGAGCAACGAGGGGAAGAACCGCCTGGGGAAGAATGGAGAGAGGATCGCAGCTGCTGATGCTTCTGATGCTGCTGATGCTGCTAATGCTGCTGCTGGTGATGGTGGTGGTTGGAAAGAGGTTGGAATGGAAGCGACCTGAGAGCACAGCAGACCTGCATGCATCCAAAAGAAGGAGGTTGCACACGTTAGAAAAATAAAAAAATAACAGGTTTATAATCGATGAAATTGCACCTTATGAAACAGGCCTGGGTGTGAGATTATACATGGGCGAGCGGACAGGCCTGGGCGTGTTCTGGGCGTAGGAGCAGCCCTGGCGTGTGAACAGATATGAATGTGGTGTGGACCCATGGACATTGCCGCCCGTCGACGTGAAGTACGAGCTCGTCGTGGCATCCTAATTAACTCAAAAGTCACCTCGCGGGTCTGGCGGACAGACCTGAAAGCGGACCCATGGACGCTGCCACCCGGCGACGTGAAGTACGAGCTCGTCGCGTATCCTCGATTTGTGCCTTTGACCGGCCCGACAGACGTCATTTCGCCGTTTAATGTCACGATGATACACGAATATGCTTTCCCGATCTCAACGGGTTCCTCGTTACAACACGATCCGAAATGAGATGAACGGCGACAGATGACTTCTTGGCGCCTTGCTGCCGGCGAATGGATCTATGTTTTTACGGGTTCTGCGAGATCGCTACTGTAGATCAGCAAGCCTTTTGCAATCGCAAGAGATCGCTAGGTTCGGTGCACAACGGCGAATTGCTATTGTAGACAGCGACCCCAATAGATTGGGCTAGACGCACTTCAGAAAGCGCAGGAAGCGAGAATCTTGGGCGACGAAAGAAGGGGAAAAGGAGAGCCTGTGTTTCTATGCTCCTAATGTGTCTTCAGTCCACAATACTGAATAGCAGCTCCTAGTTTCACAGCTTGGACACCAGCGAACTGCTATCATGGAGTAATTGGAGTTCAGGACTTGGTTTCAGCTGATCTTTCAAACGACTTACGGGTTTCTGGGTTACCATCTGGCATTCTAGATTCATTTTTCCGCTCTTGGTGTGCGGGTCGACTTGCTCTGGCAGAGGTGTCCGTTCATTGTGTCGTCTACTACTCGCATGTTTTCGTCCTTGTGACTCATCGCACAGTTGTAAGGCGTCCACCGTGGTTCGCATGTTTTCGTCCTTGTGACTCATCGCACATTTGTAAGCCGTCCACCGTGGTTCGCTTGTGTAGCAATTCAATTTTATTTTCGTCAAGCTCTCGCACTCGATGAGGTGGAGTCGGAAACGTGGCTTTTTGTAAGGCGTCCACCGTGGTTCGCTTGTGCCGAGCAGATCGTGTCAAATCAAGTGACAATCCAACCCAGATTTCAACACAAAAGACACAAGCTCATCCTTCCCATCAAACGAACTTCGGGGCACACCTCTTAAAGCCAGGGTCTCATGTAAGGGTTGGCCGTGCAACTGCAAAGCACTTGGGCGAAACGTGGGCTCTTTGGAGAGTCTCGACTTGTCAAAACTTTGGCCCCAAATTTGTACACCAATTAGACAGGCCCGTTTTTCATCGACTGCAAAGCACTTGGTCACTTGAGACCCTGCCTTTAAAGGTTCACTTCACGGAGCTTGATTTTTGTTTCCCGCCAATTTTCTGACACCCGAATCCAAAAGCCACATCGGGATTCGAAACCCAACACCACCAGCCAACCAAAGCTCAAGGAGAATCCAACACGAAGGAAAAACAGCAACACCATTCTTGTGTGTTTCCATTTGTGCCTCCTCCCACTGAATGCGTTTCTTGGGATCCACGCCATTTCCTCACATTCCTGAATCCTGATCATTAGACATTGCTCGCCTTCCTGATAATTCTCGTTGCGGCTTACTGAGGTTATCTCGTCGTCATTTTCCTAGCTCTTTCTATTGCCTCTGACTAGCAGAGCTTAGACTTCATACACCTGAAAAATGGCAGAAGAAGCCAAGTCCGTGGCGAAGATAATCGACGGCAAGGCCATCGCGAAGCAGATCCATGGCGAGGTGGCTGCGGGGGTGACAAAACTGAAAGAAGCCACTGGAAAAGTGAGTTTTTTTTTTTTGGGCGGCTTGTACGACTGGAAAAGTGAGTGCTTGCGTTCTTGCATGGACTACAGTGCAATACAAAAACTAGAATACACTGGTAGATGGCAAGGCCATCGCACAGCAGATCCATGCGAGGTGGCTGCGGGGGTGGCCAAACTAAAAGAGGCCACTGGGAAGGTGAGGACTTCGTTTCACCGAGGGGACGCTAACGAAACTGCAACAAACACTGAGGGCACGTTTAGCGAATCTGCAACAACACAGCTTACATGATGCCTGTGTTGTAGCGCATTCGCACGCAATAGTTTGCACGATCACGTTCCTCCCACCCTCCGTTTTATCTCCCTCCCGTTCTACCTGACATGACTGCCTCCTGTTACTTGAGTCGCGCGTTGAGGCGAATGGAAAGGCGTATCAGATAATGGAAACCGCTTCTTAACCGAACCACCTCCTGCTGGCTCACAACCCCTGCCGCAGGTCTCTGGCTGGCTATGTTTACATCGAAGGGTCGCAAGGACTCGCCTTGTAACTGAGTTCGAGTTCGCGTTCCGCACATTCCCCGCTGCCAATGCAGGTCCCAGGGTTGGCAGTAGACATAACGGGGGAGCGCAAAGACTCGCAGACGTACGTGCGGACGAAAGTAAAGGCGTGCCAGGACCGTGGGGATTCCCTTGTAACTGAATGCTACAAGTTCGCATTCCTACACAATCCCTACCGCAGGTCCCAGGGCTGGCTGTGATCATAGTGGGGGAGCGCAAGGACTCGCAGACGTACGTGCGGATGAAGGTGAAGGCGTGTTGGAGGTGAAATTCGCCTTGTAGCTGAGTACGAGTTCGCTTTCCCGCACATTCCCCACGCCAATGCAGGTCCCTGGGCTGGCTGTGATTATAGTGGGAGAGCGCAAGGACTCGCAGACGTACATGCGGATGAAGGTGAAGGCGTGTTGGAGGTGAAATTCGCCTTGTAACTGAGTACGAGTTCGCTTTCCCGCACATTCCCCACGCCAATGCAGGTCCCTGGGCTGGCTGTGATTATAGTGGGGGAGCGCAAGGACTCGCAGACGTACGTGCGGATGAAGGTGAAGGCGTGTTGGAGGTGAAATTCGCCTTGTAACTGAGTACGAGTTCGCTTTCCCGCACATTCCCCACGCCAATGCAGGTCCCTGGGCTGGCTGTGATTATAGTGGGGGAGCGCAAGGACTCGCAGACGTACGTGCGGATGAAGGTGAAGGCGTGTTGGAGGTGAAATTCGCCTTGTAACTGAGTACGAGTTCGCTTTCCCGCACATTCCCCACGCCAATGCAGGTCCCTGGGCTGGCTGTGATTATAGTGGGAGAGCGCAAGGACTCGCAGACGTACGTGCGGATGAAGGTGAAGGCGTGTTGGAGGTGAAATTCGCCTTGTAACTGAGTACGAGTTCGCTTTCCCGCACATTCCCCACGCCAATGCAGGTCCCTGGGCTGGCTGTGATTATAGTGGGAGAGCGCAAGGACTCGCAGACGTACGTGCGGATGAAGGTGAAGGCGTGCCAGGAGGTGGGGATCGCGTCGTTTGAGGGGAAGCTTCCTGGCGATGCCAGCCAGGATGACGTCATTGCAGCTGTCAGAGAGTTCAACGCTAACCCTGACGTGCATGGTGAGGTGCTGACGTGTGTGTAGTGAGGTGATTGCGTGTGGATGCTGAGGTGTGCACGTGTGCACGATGAGCTGCCGTGTGCATGGATCGAGAGTATCCCCACCCTCCCCCCTGCTCAAGCTAAGCATCCACACCCCTTATCCGTTCGTCTGCTTTCTGTGCCCCTCCCATTCCATGTCTCGCTCCTCCCACATTCTTCCATCATCACCAGGCATTCTGGTTCAGCTGCCCCTGCCGGCGCACATCAGCGAGGAGGCGGTGCTCGCTGAGGTGGCGCTGCCCAAGGACGTGGACGGCTTCCATCCAATCAACATCGGCCAGCTGGCAATGAAGGGGCGCCACCCGCAGTTCGCCCCATGCACTCCCGAGGTGGGAAAGGGGTTTTGGGGGATTGGAATGGGCGGGGGATCTGGAGAGAAGGGGATGGGAGGTTCAATGAAGGCCGCCCCTCACAGTTCTCCCCATGCACTCCCGAGGTGGGGAAGGGGTCATAGGGCAATGGGAGGGGGTCTGGGGGAAGGGGGATGTGCGGATTTGGGGTGCATTCAATAGAGAGAGGGCGAGGGGAAGGGGGTGTATGGAACCATTGATGAAGGACCGCCACCCTCAGTTCGCCCCATGCACTCCTGAGGTGGGGAAAGGGTTTTGGGGGATGGGAGGCGGATTGGGAAAGGGAAGATGTTTGGAGAGGGCGGTGGAGGGGAGTTGAGAGAGGTTTATGGGATGGCTTGATAAAGGGCCGCTACCCGCAGTTCGCCCTGTGTACTTGGTGGGGAAGGGGAGTTCTAGGGGAGGGGAGGGGAGTTGAGGAAATGGGATGTGGGGTGCAGTGAATGAAGAGTGATTTCCTGGAAGAATCCTCACTGGCCTGCACGGATATTCGTTTCATCTGAATACACCATGCATCATCTCAACCCCTCCTCCTCCCAACACCACCCCACCCCCCCGCCAAACCCCCCCCCCCCCCTCCTTCCCCCGCCTCCCAGGGCTGCATGGTGCTGCTGGAGCGCAGTGGCGTGCCGATTAACGGGCAGCGGGCAGTGCTCCTGGAAACCATTCCCTCCTTCTCTCCCCATGGCATCAACTCCCCCTCCCCTTTTCCCCCCAGGCGCAGTGGCGTGCACATCAGCGGGCAGGTGACTTCTGAGTCGACTCAAAAGTCACCGCGTGCACATCAGCGGGCAGGTGACTTCTGAGTCGACTCAAAAGTCACCGCGTGCACATCAGCGGGCAGGTGACTTCTGAGTCGACTCAAAAGTCACCGCGTGCACATCAGCGGGCAGGTGACTTCTGAGTCGACTCAAAAGTCACCGCGTGCACATCAGCGGGCAGGTGACTTCTGAGTCGACTCAAAAGTCACCGCGTGCACATCAGCGGGCAGGTGACTTCTGAGTCGACTCAAAAGTCACCGCGTGCACATCAGCGGGCAGGTGACTTCTGAGTCGACTCAAAAGTCACCGCGTGCACATCAGTGGGCAGGTGACTTCTGAGTCGACTCAAAAGTCACCGCGTGCACATCAGCGGGCAGGTGACTTCTGAGTCGACTCAAAAGTCACCGCGTGCACATCAGCGGGCAGGTGACTTCTGAGTCGACTCAAAAGTCACCGCGTGCACATCAGCGGGCAGGTGACTTCTGAGTCGACTCAAAAGTCACCGCGTGCACATCAGCGGGCAGGTGACTTCTGAGTCGACTCAAAAGTCACCGCGTGCACATCAGCGGGCAGGTGACTTCTGAGTCGACTCAAAAGTCACCGCGTGCACATCAGCGGGCAGGTGACTTCTGAGTCGACTCAAAAGTCACCGCGTGCACATCAGCGGGCAGGTGACTTCTGAGTCGACTCAAAAGTCACCGCGTGCACATCAGCGGGCAGGTGACTTCTGAGTCGACTCAAAAGTCACCGCGTGCACATCAGTGGGCAGCTTCTGAGACGTCTCTGTTAGGCATTTCCTCACTGCTCCCTCTCTTGCTACTTCTCCCTCCTGGCATCCCCCCCTCCCTACTTCAACCCAGGGCAGCATGGTTCTACTGGAGCGCACTGGCGCTCCCATCAGCGGGCAGCGGGCGGTGGAGATTCGATCTCACAGCTGTCTCTCTTCCTCCTGCTCGCATTCCCCTTCCCCCCCCCCTCCCAGGGCTGCATGGTACTATTGGAGCGCAGTGGTGTGCAGATCAGCGGGCAGCGGGCGGTGGTGATTGGGCGCAGCAACATCGTGGGCATGCCTGCTGCGATGCTATTGGTGGAGAGGGACGCCACGGTTACCATCGTGCACTCGAGGACCAAGGAGCCCAAGGAGATTGTGAAGCAGGCTGATATTGTGATCGCTGCCATTGGGAAGGCACAGATGGTGAGTGCAGTGCAGTTAGGTGCAGTGGAGTGTGCTGGAGTGCAGTGGAGTGCGGTGGAGTGCGGTAACTTGTAATGAGCAGAATAGTTACCATCGTGCACTCGAGGACCAAGGAGCCAAAGGAGATCGTGTAGCAGGCTGATATCGTCATTGCTGCTATTGGGAAGGCCCAGATGGTGAGTGGGGGTATACTGTGGTGGAGAGCGGTGGAGGGTTGTGGACTGCGGTACCTCACAAGGAGCAGTTACCATCGTGCACTCGAGGACCAAGGAGCCCAAGGAGATCGTGACGCAGGCTGATATCGTTATCGCTGCCATTGGGAAGGCCCAGATGGTAAGTGCAGTGCGGTGAGGTGCGGTGGACTGTGTTGGAGTGCGTTTGAGTGCGGTAACCTGCAATGAGCAGAATAGTTACCATCGTGCACTCAACGACCAAGGAGCCCGAGGGGATTGTGAAGCAGGCGGATATCGTCATTGCTGTTATTGGGAAGGCCCAGAGGGGGAGTGGGGGTATAGTGTGGTGGAGAGCGGTGGAGAGTGGTAGACTGTGGTACCTCACAAGGAGCGGTTACCATCGTGCACTCGAGGTCCTTGGAGCCAAAGGAGATCGTGAAACGGGCTGATATTGTGATCGCTGCCATTGGGAAGGCGCGGATGGTGAGTGAGGGCTGGTTAATAGTATGGTGGAGAGCAGTGGAGAGTGGCAGAGTGCGGTGGAGAGTGGTGGAGAGTGGCAGAGTGTGGTGGAGAGTGGTGGAGTGCAGTAGGTCATAAGGAGCAGTTACCATCGTGCGCTTGAGGACCAAAAGCCCAAGGAGATCGTGGAGTAGGCGGAAATTGTGATTGCTGCAATTGGGAAGGCACAGATGATGAGTGTAGTGCTGTGAGGTGCGTTGGAGTGCGTTGGAGTGTGGTAATGTGTAATGAGCAGAATAGTCACTGTAGTGCACTCGAGGACCAAGGAGCTTGAGGAGATCATGAAGCAGGCGGACATCCCGATCGCTGCCATTGGGAAGGCCCAGATGGTGGGATGATGCAAGCAAGAAGGCTTCCAATGAGACTATCAAGTGTAGCGTATGAGGAGGTTTGTAAGGAGCTAAAAAGATGCTGCCTATGAGGAGGCTTGTATTGAGCCAAAAAAATGCTGCCTATGAGGATGTTTTTAGGAGCCCATCAAATTCGGCGTATGAAGTGGTAGCTCCCACTGTTTCACTTTTTAACGAGTTGACTTTTGAGTCGACTCAAAAGTCAAACTCAAAAGTCAAATGTGGTGTATGAAGAGGTAGGTCCCATTGTTCCACTTCTTCCCACTCAAACCACTCCGCTCCCCTCCTCCCTTGTGCTTTCCTCCTCCTCCACTTCCACTTCGCCCTCCCTTTTTGTTCCTCACTGTTCTCTAATGCTTCCAATCTCCCCCCAAAAAGGTGAAGGCTGACTGATTGAAGGCGGGGTGTGCAGTGATCGACATGGGGATCAACGCCCCACACTCACCCTCTCTTCTCCTCACCTGCCTTCCCCCCCCGTAACAGGTGAAGGCGGACTGGTTAAAGGCGGGGTGTGCAGTGATCGATGTGGGGATCAACGCAGTCGACGATGCAAGCAAGAAGGCGGGGTACCGGCTGGTGGGGGATGTGGACTATGAGGGGGTTAGGGAGGTGGCCGGATGGATCACACCTGTTCCGGGGGGAGTGGGACCCATGACCATCGCTGTGCTGCTGCAACACACACTCACAGCAGCAGAGAGAGCGTTCAGGGCTAGTTCATAGGGCGGTGCATACAGTAAGCAGTAGGGCTTAAATCAGATGGGAGGTGGCCGGGTGGATCACACCCGTGCCAGGGGGAGTGGGGCCCATGACCATCGCTGTGCTGCTACAACACACCCTCACAGCTGCATAGAGGGCTCTTGGGGCTAGTTAATACATCGATACAGACAGTACACTGAGGGTTCTGGGCGTCAGCTACAGTCGAAGACAGCAGGGCCTGAGTCAGACCAGAGGTGGCCGGGTGGGTCACACACAACACACCCGTGCCAGGGGGAGTGGGTCCGTCCCTTGGCCATTGCTGTGCTGCTGCAGCACACCCTCGCAGCGACACAGAGAGCCCTTGGGGTCAGCCGGTAGGGGGTAACTGGGGGTATGCACACCCTAGGAAGGTTTGAGCAATGCCGTGTTGCTGCAAGAGAGTAGAATGGAACGTTTATGTTACTGTCCGTTTGTTTTCGTATTGTTATGGTAGTACGTTTTGGAATTGGTTAACTATTTGCCTCCCTTATGCATACACGGTGATCGTTGTGTAGAATGCTGGATTGTAGTGCTTTGGTAAACCCCTCCCAAGCAACTCTAATGTCAGGGTGGTTACAGCAAAATGTGCACTACAAAGAAAACCTTAGCGAGTACAAATGATTTTCGTTGCCATACCATCTCAGGTGTTTCATTTACTATTGTGGTGAGAAATATTACCGTAACGGCGTCTGAACTTTCATAACACCATCTCATTGAGAAACTATGGTACCTCTCTACCCATTGCTTGCTTCCTCCAAAACCTTTTGAATGCTCTGTTATGTAGCTTGTTACAGAGCAGCCCCTATTCATAAGGTGCCCATTAAGTTCACTCCGTAGCTTCTTCCAGTAGCTGCTTCGATTCTGAAAATGCTTGGAGAATTTACCCTCTGGCATCCGCCAAAAGGTGTCTAGGGTAGGGTGATTACCCTGTAGCTTCTTCCAGAAGCTGTTTCTCAACAGTCATTCTCTGGGCCACCATATCCCCATACCTCGCGTGCAGGTCCGCGGATCCAGCAGGGATCGCTTCGGACAGAGAAACAGCGCTAGGGGCTTCTGCTGATGTGGTAACTTCTGCAGAGGCATTTGCTGAGCTGTCACCTGCTGAGGTGGCACTTGCTGAGCTGGCACCAGCATGATCAAGGAGAGAGGTGAAGGGTAGAAAGGAGCCTTGGGTGTGGCAGAGGTAGCCGTGTGCTGCTCTCAGTGCTGCCCCCAGTGAAGCTGAGTCTGGAAAGGGGGAGATGGAAGAGGAGCAAGAGAGGAGAAACGGCAAAGATAGGGGAGAGCTGAAAAGGAGCCTTGGGTGTGGCATAGGTAGCCGTGTGCTGCTCTCAGTGAGGCTGAGTATGGTGGAGGGAGAGGAGAGGGGGTGGGATGGGATGGAAGGAAGCAAGAGAGAGAGGAATGAGCAACGAGCGGAGGATAGAGAAAGGAGCATTTGTGTGTGGCAGAGGTAGCCTTGTGTTGCTCTTAGTGAAGCGGAGAATGAAGATTGGAGGATATAGGAGCAAAGCAAAGGAGAAGATGGGACAGATGATGCTAACAGCCATCATGCCAACAGACGTTCAACGGCAACAGTCACTAGCTTGCACGAAGGCTCAATCTAAAACCGCACTCTCTTCATCCTCCCTGCATCTCATCACTCACCTTTTAAGGCAAGCAAACGGGCGTTCGGTGTTGAGTTGAGGCGCCTCCACAGAAGTTGGAGCAAGTCATGACACTCGCAGTTTTTTTTTTTTTTTTTTTTTTTTTCCGGTTGTTCTCCTCGAGTCTCTTGCGCTTGTGCAATTCTCATCTCGTATAGTTTTTCAGTTGGGGCAACCTGTTTGAATTACCTGTGGATGTTGAAGTGTACACCGGGCAGCCGAAAACATTTGCCATGGTGCGGAGAATCGCCTCATTGGCCGAGCCGCCCCCCGTGGCAATGATCCGGGCAGGCGGGCTTTGCAGCCCGATTCGCTCAGCATGCCCTCTCATTGATACAAGCTGCCCTTCCACCAATGCTCTGATCTGTGAGTCAGAGTGAGGGAAAGGTAGGAGGTGGAAGAGTGAGAGAGAGGAAGAGGTGGTGAGCTCAGCAGCTTGATTTTCTCAGCATGGCCTCTCATTGACACTAGCTGCCCTTCCAACAATGCTCTGATCTGTGAGGCACAGAGGGGAGAACACAGAATGAGGGATGAACACTTAGCGATCGGTGGGGACGACAGGTGGGCTTTGCTGGCCGAGTCGCTCTGCATGGCCTCTCATTGATACAAGCTGCCCTTCCACCAGCGCCCGGATCTGTGGGTAGCAGAGAGGGAAGAGTGAAAGGTTAAGGACTGGAGGGCCAGAGAGGGCGGGCTTTGCAGCCCTATTCGCTCCGCATGCCCACTCATTGACACCAGTTGCCTTTCCAGCAATGCCCTAATCTGTGAGGCACAGAGAGAAGCACGAGCGGAGGGGGAGAGAGATGTCTGGGAGAGAGAGATAGAGAGAGAGAGAGAGAGAGAGAGAGAGAGAGAGAGAGAGAGAGAGAGAGAGAGAGAGAGAGAGAGAGAGAGAGAGAGAGAGAGAGAGAGAGGTAGGGGCTCTGCAGCTCTATTCGCTCCGCATGCCCACTCATTGACACCAGCTGCCCTTCCACCAGTGCCCTTATCTGTGAGGCACAGAGAGGGAAACAAAGAATGAGGGATGAACAATGAGCGATTGGTGGGGAAGACAGGTGGGCTTTGCTGCCCGATTCTCTCCGCATGGCCTCTCATTGACACCAGCTGCCCTTCCACCAATGCCCTGATCTGTGAGGCACAGAGAGGGAAACAAAGAATGAGGGATGAACAATGAGCGATTGGTGGGGAAGACAGGTGGGCTTTGCTGCCCGATTCTCTCCGCATGGCCTCTCATTGACACCAGCTGCCCTTCCACCAATGCCCTGATCTGTGAGGCACAGAGAGAGATAGGGAGAGAAGAGTCGAAGGAGAGAGATTAGAGGGGTAGAGACAGTGGGCTTTGCAGGCCGATTCTGTCAGCATACCCTCTCATTGATACAAGCTGCCCTTCCACCAGCCGCCCTTCTCTGTGAGATATAGAAAGAGATATAGAGAGAGAAGGATGGAAGGTGAGTAATAAGAGGAGGGAGAGAGGAAGGCTCAGCGGCCCTATCATTTCCGCGTAACCTCTTGTGCTGCTTGTATAGTTTGGACAGGGAAGAGAGGAGAGCAAGGTGAGCGAGAAAGAGAGAGTTTTGTAAGAGGAGAATCAGAAGAAAGAGTCCCGTACGAAGCAAGTGTGCCTCTGGACCATCCCAGCGCAAGCAGAGCTACCTCTTGTGGTGCTTCGAATGTTTGGTCAGGCGAGAGGCGAGTGAGGTGAGTGAGGTGAATGAGGGGAGTGAGGGGAGTGAGGTGAGTGAGGTGAATGAGGGGAGTGAGGGGAGTAAGAGAGAAGGATCCGCAAGTAGGAGAAACAGAAGGAGGAGCTCCATCCGAAGCAAGTGCATGTTAGTCATCCCTTGGCGAGCACAGCTACCTCTTGTGGTGGTTCAAAGGTATTGGTCGGGGGGGAGGCAAGTGAGTGAGCGTTGCAAGGTGAGAATCAGTACGAGGCTGCTCTTAACCACTTTTGAGAATTCTCTAAAGGCTGCTCGAAACCAAGTGCTCAGGATCACCTCATTGCAAGCCCAGCTACCTCTTGTGGCGGTTCAAAGGTTTCGTCCGGGGACAGGCGAGTGAGTGGGTCGCCCGCGGCCGCACCCTCCCTTGGTGAGAAACGATGGGTCCCCACTGTAAGATCGGGGCACAGAGGCAACAGGAAAGGTGATTGCAGTGGAAACCCCACAGGAATCGGCATGCTGATTGTGAAAATAGGCTAGCATGAAGATGGGAGGAAGACGTCGTATATTCACAACCTCATATATTCATAGCCTCATATATTCATAGCCTCATATATTCATAACCTCTTTATTCATAACCTCATATATTCATAACCTCATGTATTCATAACCTCATATATTCACAACGTCATATATTCGTAACCTAACTATTGAATTACCTACTTACCAGGAAGGGGAGGGATGATCTCCGGGTCAAGATAGAAGAAGCCCATGCAGCCACCTGCTCAGGTGACACACGGTACAGGAGAGGTGAGGAAGTGAGGAAGTGAGGAAATAAGGAGGTGAGGAAGTGAGGAGGTGGGAAGTGAGGAGATGGGAGGGCCAGGTGGAAGGATAATCTCCGGGTCAAGATAGTAGAAGCCCATGCGGCCACCTGCACATCCGTTAGAAACGAGAGCAAAAAGTGATGAGCGAGGAGGTGAGGAAGTGAGGAAGTGAGGAGGTGAGGGGGCGAGGAAGTGGGGAGGTGAGGAAGTGAGGAGGTAAGGAAGTGAGGAGGTGAGGAAGTGAGGAGGTGGAGAAGTGAGGAGGTGAGGAAGAGGGATGATCTGGGAGAATCCTATACAGTAAAAAGCAGAAATAGCAGATGGTATTTAGCAGATGAAATAGCAGAAAAAAACAGTATTTAGTCACATCCTACAGATCAAGGTGCTTCATTCTGCCAGCTGCTGCACGCACCGTTCAAAGGAGGAGCTTCATTCAGCAGCTGGCAGAATGCGTCCCACGAACCTCCTGCACAGCGGTCCCTGATGGCTGGTGGTGGGATTGTGGGACGGTGAGAGGGGATTATCGCAATGCACGTGAGTTAGACCACCAGGTGCCTTCACGCATAGACATAGACATAGGCACACACACACACACACACAGCCTAGCCTCATTCAGCAGCTTGCAGAATGCGTCCCGTGCCATGACCCTCCTGCACAGCGGTCCTTGATGGCTGGTGGTGGGATGGTCGGATGAGAATCAAGGACAGAAATGACATATGCACGTGAGAGCCTGCTTTTGAGTCGACTCAAAAGCAGGATCAAGGACATAATTGACATATCCACGAAAGAGCATCGGCAGGAGAACCAAGCGCCCGTAACATACAACGAACCGCTTGATTGAACTGCATATATCATCATCCGCAGAAGTCAATCACATTAGCCCAACATGCACGTCTCCAGTACTCTACTACCCTACTCCAAGTAAGACTGTTGTACCCTGTCGAGTGAGCGACCCGTTCTTGTAACAGATCATGGCCATAAACGAGGATGGATCCACAGGGTTGGGAAACACGTGGCCCTCCAAGCCTGGTTGAGGATCCATCACAACTGCAAACACCTGGGTGGGAAGGAACGGAAAGGGATGGGATGAGATGGGAAGGAGTGGGATGGGGTGGGATGGTGGGATGAGATGAGAGGGAGTGGGATGGGTTGGGATGGTGGAATGAGAAGGGAAGGAGTGGGATGGGGTGGGATGATGGGATGAGAAGGGAAGGAGTGGGATGGGGTGGGATGATGGGATGAGAAGGGAAGGAGTGGGATGGGGTGGGATGATGGGATGAGAAGGGAAGGAGTGGGATGGGGTGGGATGATGGGATGAGAAGGGAAGGAGTGGGATGGGGTGGGATGATGGGATGAGATGGGAAGGAGTGGGATGGGGTGGGATGATGGGATGAGAAGGGAAGGAGTGGGATGGGGTGGGATGATGGGATGAGATGGGAAGGAGTGGGATGGGGTGGGATGATGGGATGAGAAGGGAAGGAGTGAGATGGGGTGGGATGATGGGATGAGATGGGAAGGAGTGGGATGGGGTGGGATGATGGGATGAGATGGGAAGGAGTGGGATGGGGTGGGATGATGGGATGAGATGGGAAGGAGTGGGATGGGGTGGGATGATGGGATGAGAAGGGAAGGAGTGGAATGGGGTGGGATGATGGGATGAGATGGGAAGGAGTGGGATGGGGTGGGATGATGGGATGAGAAGGGAAGGAGTGGAATGGGGTGGGATGATGGGATGAGATGGGAAGGAGTGGGATGGGGTGGGATGATGGGATGAGAAGGGAAGGAGTGGGATGGGGTGGGATGATGGGATGAGATGGGAAGGAGTGGGATGGGGTGGGATGATGGGATGAGATGGGAAGGAGTGGGATGGGGTGGGATGATGGGATGAGAAGGGAAGGAGTGGGATGGGGTGGGATGATGGGATGAGATGGGAAGGAGTGGGATGGGGTGGGATGATGGGATGAGATGGGAAGGAGTGGGATGTGGTGGGATGATGGGATGAGAAGGGAAGGAGTGGAATGGGGTGGGATGATGGGATGAGATGGGAAGGAGTGGGATGGGGTGGGATGATGGGATGAGAAGGGAAGGAGTGGAATGGGGTGGGCTGATGGGATGAGATGGGAAGGAGTGGGATGGGGTGGGATGATGGGATGAGAAGGGAAGGAGTGGGATGGGGTGGGATGATGGGATGAGATGGGAAGGAGTGGGATGGGGTGGGATGATGGGATGAGATGGGAAGGAGTGGGATGGGGTGGGATGATGGGATGAGAAGGAAGGAGTGGGATGGGGTGGGATGATGGGATGAGATGGGAAGGAGTGGGATGGGGTGGGATGATGGGATGAGATGGGAAGGAGTGGGATGTGGTGGGATGATGGGATGAGAAGGGAAGGAGTGGGATGGGGTGGGATGATGGGATGAGATGGGAAGGAGTGGGATGGGGTGTGGAGTGGACCACCCATTTATCAGCAACAACTGTGAGTACCCTCACCTCGAGAGGGTAACCCATGGGAAGACCCCCTAGCTGTGATGTCATGGCATGGCATGGCATGGCATGGCACGGATATCCCTCTGCCATACATCCCCACTCACTCACTCACCGTGTCACTAGTTCCGAGGCTGATACCCACATCGCCCGAGCCTCCAAGCGCCAAACCTGTGAGGCAGGCATGGGACCTGTGAGGCAGGCATGGGAGGTGGTCCGGCCGGTCCAGCATTAAGTTTGGAAAACTCATTTCTCGACAAAGATTTACACCTCACTGTGAATGAGGGTCAACAGGGTCAACAGGGTCAACAAGGTCAACAAGGTCAACAGGGTCAACAAGGTCAATAGGGTCAACAGGGTCAACAAGGACAACAGGGTGCAAGTGGGTGCACTTTTGAGGTGCCTCAAAAGAAAATAACTGGCAACGAACAGGGTAGCAACGGAGAAAGTGGATGCATGGCATGGCATACCTTGATCCTTTTGCTTAAGTGAGTACTACAGGTTTGCAGCTACTCCACGATGAACCTTGATCCAATGAACAGGATAAAAACGGAGAAAGTGAGAGCATGGCATGGCATGGCATGGCATGGCATGGCATACATCTTACCTGCAAGGCTGCAAGGGTTGTCCCCTGACCATGCCACGACTTGGCAGCTTGGCGAGAAGCCAAACCTGGAAAAAACAGAGGGGCGGGGGCGGGGAGGGGGAACAGGAGGCTCAAAAGGCGTTTACCGGCTACTGAGCCCTATTGCTGTCGCCTGGCCATGCCACTCTGAGTTTGTTTTTTAGTAATTCTTTAATAATAATAATAATAACAACAACAATAATAATAATTATTATAATAATCGCGGGGCGGGGGAACAGGAGGCGTTCACCGGCTACTGAGCCCTGTTGTTGTTGTCGCCTGGCCATGCCGCGACTTGGCGATTCATTAGGCGCCTCCAACTTGGATATTCACCTCACGTTGGAGGCGGCTCAAACACAACCATGCATGTACGCATGCACCTCTTAAAATACTACCAATGTCTCAAATACAACACATGCACGCACCTGTCCACGTAGTATTGATGCACACTACCAACCACTTGGTGGGACGGAACCACCTCGCCGAGCCTCTCTCGCAGGTTCGGCGCAGTGGCCTGTCAGGCTCGGGAGGGGGAAGGGGAAGGGGAGTGGGGAGGGGGAGAGTGGACATGCAATCAAGGTCCACTTGCGTGGATCATACGACATGGATAAAACCCTTCACGAGACACGATGGAAGCGTGCTGTAAATAACAAGGTGTGCTGCTGAGGAATGCTTGACAGACAGAATGCTACTGCAACAGTGGTATCTAGAGAATTTTCAGTGTGCCACTAGCAGCGTTACTCGGAACGATCAAATGCATGGTTTGATAACATAAGAACATCACTGCAGCACTATGACTGACCACTTGTCCCACGTCAGCTCACCTCTAATGCCACGTCAGCCCACTGTCTTGTCCGCAGATCCATCAGATTCATCCCAGCCCCGTCAGCAGCGTCAATAGGAGCGTAATCTCCGACCAATATTGACGCGCCAAACGAGCTCACTAGAGAGATCCTCTCGGTGTTGTCATACTCCCGAGCCTGATGCTGCCACACCCGCCGAACCTGAGGTCCGGTGAACCGCTCGTAGGCTCGGGAGCCCGTCAGCCCAGCCAAAGCTGCAGGTCCGCCAAGAGCTGCTTCGATTTCCCTACACTGTACTGCTGTGCTGCTGTCCATCCAAATAGGGGAATCTAAAATCGAAAATACACTCTGCTGCAATGATGCATTGTCTTGAAACGAATCACCCTGTGCTGAATCATTTGAGCTGAGCCCGTCCCTTTTCCTGTTTCTCTCATCCCCGCATAGCTGAGCAAAAAGGGTCTGGTCAGATCGGAGGTTTCTAAGCCGTGCCCGGGCTCCTCTCCGCCAGTAAATACTTCCGTGCTGCTGCCCGCTGCCGGAAACTGCCCGGACTTTATCAAACGGGAAATCTGCTTCTTTCAACCTCGCTAGGATCATATCAAAAGCCTCTACCCACATGGCTGGTGGTGCAGTAACTCTAAGCGCCGAGCCTGACGAGGAGGCTCGGGAATCAGGCTCGGCGGAGGCTCGGTGAACACCTCCGGAGGTTCGGTAGTGGGGGAGGGTTGTGTCATATTGGAGTGATTCGGTGGCAACAATGCGAAGGGAGGAATCGATTGCAGTGGCCTTGAGAGACCTGAAACCGGTGTGATTATAAAGAAGGCAGGGAAGGTGAGGGGAAGGGGGGGATGGCAGGGGAGGGGGGGGATGGGAGGGGAGGGGGGGGGGGCGATGGGGGAATAGCGGCGGGGTGGGAGGGGAGGTTCAGTTCAGTGCGAGGTGAGCCTTGCTGGGATAATTTCTGCCTGGTACTCGCCCTAGCCTGCGGCTGTAACGGAAGCAAATGTGCTTCAGCTCACTGCGTCTCACACATGCGTAAATTATCTTAAGCTCATTGGTGTTAACTTCTAAGAATTCTCAAAAGTAACAGCAACATAGCTCGTCTCACGCAGGCGTGAATGATCTAAGACTCACTGCGTGGAGCTATCGAAGCCGAGGAACAGGCCGTCCAGACCCAACGACGGCTTTCTAGCCGACTCAAAAGACATTCTCAGACAGACGCGAATCAGTTTCAACTCACTGCGTGGAGCTATCGAAGCCGAGGAACAGGTCGTCCAGACCCAACAACGGCTTTCTAGTCGACTCAAAAGACATTCTCAGACAGACGCAAAACATTTTCAACTCACTGCGTGGAGCTATCGAAGCCGAGGAACAGGCCGTCCAGACCCAACAACGCCGCCATCGCTACGCCGTCGAGAATTTCCAACCAAAGGCTACGATGTCACCGGGGTAAAAAAGACACGAGTTAGACGACGTTTCCACAGGGAACTAACAACAATCGCGCGACACGTCAGTTTTCGGACGTCACTCCGACTCCAGTTTCCGGACCCTGGAGTCGGCTAGGCGCGATTCTGTGATGTGGCGCCGCTGCCTACACATCATAGCCATTCTGGTGATGTGTTCTGAATCTAAAATCTAGGTGCAGAAATTCCCTAGAAGGGAGGAACATTACGGTGCGCCAGAATCAACTCCGTTTCTGTTGGGTTGACTGCGGTAGTGAATAGTCGGCAATCGAGCCCAAAAGTCTTGGTGAAAGCGAAGCCTTGTGGCATTCTTGTACGCATTCGCTTCACAGACTTCGATAACGGAAATCACATTAATATTTAACTTACAGAAGTTCAGTGAATCCAATCCACCATCCCTCTTTCTAAGAGAAAAACTCTTTTGTGATAAACAACTTTCTTCCACCCACCGAGGTCCCCACCCACTGCCTTATTCGGCCCTTGGGCAGCATCTAGCCTATACAACACAAACGCATTATTGTCCCACCCCACAAACCTCTGCAGATTCTTGCACCCAGGGAACAATTGAGCCAACAAATTTCTCCCAATAGTCTGGTCTTTTTCGTCAGTACCAGCCTCCAGGCGCCTGCCTTCCTCCCCTAAAGTCAAACAACCTGTTTCCAAGGCTGTCTCATCTCGGCTTCTCGACGTGCCTTCCCCTCCATGCCCACTCCTTTCCAGAATCTCTCCCCCATCACCCCCCCTCAACACACGCTCAAAGAATTCCACTACATCGCTCCCAATCCGTGTGCAAAACACACCCTCTATGCTGGAAGGCCAAAGTACACTGACGCGAAGCACTGTCAGAGACACAGGGGCCCACCCTAAAGCATAGAAACACCGCAAGCTCCGCCAACCATGCAAGTCCAATGATTGCGAAACCGAAACTTGCTCCCACTCAAGGTACTTCACGGTCTCTATCACGGCGTGTGGGAGGCATGCGGCCGGACTTGGCTGCATGTTGGTGCAGAGAAAGTCAAGCGAGGTGAGGTGAGGCGCGTGAAATGCCAATTGGTGGCAGGTCCAACCAGTGTGGAGGATGAGAGATGTCAGGTGCGCGGGGCAGGTGGGCAGCAGGAGCAGGCGGGAGTGGTGCGTCTGGCAGGTGAAGCTGAGGGCAGAGAGATGCGGGGCGGACAGCGAAACGGAGCAGTTGATTCCGTCAAATGTGACATTCGTGGCCAGTGGGAGGTGTAGAGAGTAGGATTTTCGTCCGTCAACATCGCTCTCAGTGGGAGGTGCTGACCCGTCCGCATTCTCCGTACCGTTTTCAGCGCTCTCTTCGCCCTCCTCAGCTGCAAAGTGATTTGCAGAGGAGATTAGGTCGAGTCTTTGAAGCTTGGCAGAGACGCAGGAGACGAAGCGAAGCACGAGCGGCGAGCAGGCGGGGAGAGAGAGCTCGAGGCGAGACAGCACGGGAAACGGCCTTTGCGTGTCATCATCTGGATGTGGGAAATGATTTCGATCAGCGCCTGCATTCCTCTCCTCCTCCATGATCGAAATCATCTCCCACATCTCCGCCACTAGCACTGCGTCATTGCAGCCTCGCCGCGCCAACCCATGCTCGCCGTCTGCCCGCATGACGCATGAAAAAGCGAGAGCGACTCGAGGCGCGGAGCTTGCGAGAGGGAGTGGAGAAGGCGCGGAGGGAAGGGGAGGCATCGGGAGAAGTCAAGATCGAGAGAAGTGAGGGAGGAGAGGTGAGTGAAAAGGCAGGAGCGTAAGAGGGAGGAGAAGAGCCGGGGAGGAGGGGTATCCAGAGAAAAGATGAGCTGGGAAGGACGAGAGACCTGTTTGGTCAGCCAGGTAAAGCTGCGAATTTGCTGCGCGAGGGATTTGGGGCGGATTGAGCACGGGCATGCTTCATAGAACACGAGAGGCACGTCTGACGTGAAACAGTCGTTCGATAGAGCGCGCCGAAAGCACGGCATGGCGATGGCACAAGCCACGAGCAGCAGCAGCACCCGTCTCGCTCCACCACCAACTTCGCGACGCGCCGCCACACGTCGACGGGTAAGGCGTTTAGGTCGCCGTAACGAATCTCCGCCTCGGGCTGGCTGTCGAAGGCTCGCCGCGCCGTGTCCGCGCACACTCCGCGTTTCGATCGCTTTGCGCGTGGAGCGGTGATAATGGACGGCTCCAGTTCCTCCACTTGTTCCTCGTCCTCCTCCCCTTGCTCACCCTCCAGTCCCTCCTCTTCTAGTTCCTCCTCCAACTGCCCACATGGACTAGCGCTACCTCTAACCTTCATCCGGCTCCGTGACTTTCTCCCGCTAAACTTATCCTCGGCCACCAGCCTCGCCACACCAACAAGATGTTACCGTTGAACGGCAGCCGAGTTTCACGACATCAAATTCCTGTGCTGGGAAAATACTTCACTGTTTAGTGACATGCAGTCTGCTTATGTACGGTTACGACGGGCTACTGTAATAAGGTGTCTGGTGGTGTGCAGCTGGCGGGATATGCATGTGACGCATGGCGTCAGCTCAATTCGGAGGGAAACAAATCAGGCGGGAAATACTGTAGTGCATCGTGTAACGGCTCGAAATGCATAAGCGAAACTAGAATTTTAGTTCGCGAATATACAAAGGCGCATGTAATGAATATACATTCATTACTGTAGAGGCTGCTCCTAGCGAGGACAGCCCGAACAGTTCGCGTCAGCTGGGTTCGGCCTACACTTCCGCACCGAACCTATTCCGAGTCGCCCATCACCAATCGCGACATTTCCGAGCCACGCACTTCACGAGGCCCTCGCCTAGCACGGTTTCGACCCTATAAATGCATGCTCCTTTATCATTCTTGATCATTCTGTAATCACGTTCTCTTTATAAAGTCTTCCGCGCACTCTGTCTAGTAAAACTCATAACACTTGGTATCAGAGCTACTTTCCTAGCTTCCCCGTTTTTTAGAGTGTATTGTCAAAATGAAGAATGGAATGATGCATTGATGTTGGTTGGGGTACATATAGCTAACCCTAAGTTTTGTGTCAGAATCCCAGCCACTAACCACTGGAATAAAAGGGCTTGTTTGTGTAGCGGGTGAGTGCGCCCATAACCCCCCAGGCCGCCGTGCCTGTAACCCTTCCCTAGGATCAATCGGGGATCACCAGTGGACCTCTGACACCCCCCCGCACTGGGATGCCCGAGGTGCACACACCGGGATTCGAACCCGAGACCTTCGCTCTGATACCATGTCAGAATCCCAGCCACTAACCACTGGGATAAAAGGGCTTGTTTGTGTAGCGGGTGAGTGCGCCCATAACCCCCCAGGCCGCCGTGCCTGTAACCCTTCCCTAGGATCAATCGGGGATCACCAGTGGACCTCTGACATTTTGTACCCCCTAAGACAAACCTCACTATAGGCTACAACATTTGACACACCCCCATAGCCTAAGTGAGGGGTGTCTAGCAGAACCAAACGAGTACGGTCACAAGACCAGTCCAAGAAACGAAGCTCAGGGTGGATCACAACGTCACCACACAGTCTGAGCACAAACAACAGTGGCCACAAGGCCAGTCCAAGAAGTAACAGAGGTATATAGAAAGCAAAGTAAACAGTACACTCAAGTCTAAGCAACACGAGAACCAGTGTCAACAAGGCCTAACTGCACACAGCACCTCTGGTGGTCACAAGGCGGAAGCGCCTTGGTGAAGATGTCTGCAGTGTTGGCCTCGGACTCCACAAACTCAAAGCGAGCCTGTCCACGCCTCTGCAACTCTCGCAGAAGAAAGTACCTGACGTGAATGTGCTTCACTCTGCTCTCCAGTCGTGGCTCTCGACAAAGGAGAATAGACGCCTTGTTGTCAGTGAACAAGGTCGGTGCAGAGCTCGGCCGCTCACCAAGGTCGGTGAGCAAGAAGGTCAACCAACGCAGCTCCTGTGCCGCCATGGCACCAGCGTAGATCTCAGCCTCAGCTGTAGAGGTCGAGACCGAAGAGGAGCGCGTGGACCGCCAGGAAACAGCTCCAGAACCCAGGCTGAAACAGTACCCCTGAGTAGACCTGTGAGTCTCAGCGTCGTCAGCGTAAGAGGAGTCACAGTGACCAGTAAGTACGACAGACTGCTGCCCTCCAAGAACTAGCCCCACGCCTGACGTCGTCGCTAGGTACTTCGCCACCCTCACAGCTACTGTCCAGTGAACAGGACGGTGTCTCCCTGGTGCAACAAAGCGCGCAAGAACGCTGAGAGGGAAGGCGAGGTCCGGGCGAGTACAAGTCATCAGGTACATGAGGCAACCCACAAGCTCTGCGTAGGGACCACTAGGCTCGAACGGCTCGTCAGGAAAGGGTCCAGTGAGTCTGTGGTCAACAGCAAGAGGTGTGCGCTGTACTGTGGAGTGCTGGAGCAGCGATTGACCAACATTCGGATGGGAGAGCAGGAGTCGGTGACTGAATACTGCAATCGAGCTCGACGAATTTTGGCCGAACTGCAAATGGCCAGCGTCGACTACTCGATGGTGTCGTATGTTACGCACGTCATCAAGGGTCTCTCTACGGGCTACAATCTGATGCGCCGGATGCTGGCGATGCCCGACACGTGTGAGTCGTTCAAGGAGGATATGCTGTTGAGCCAGATCATCAACGACGAGTTCATGCTTCCGTAGGTATGTCGCCCCATCGAAGAAGGGACGCCAACCGGGGCAGAGAGGGACGTCTGGTGGAGGCGGTGGCGGGAAGCCGTTGAACAGCATGTCGACAGAGGGCGCCGACCGCGGGAAGTCGACGAATTGCAATGATCGCGGTCAATGGTTCGCATCGAGGAGGATGCCACTGCTACATTTGCGGAGACCCCGACCACCTCTCGTATGATTGCCCTGACCGCGACGAGTCCGACAACGATCAATAGGGTACTCCTCAACAGCAGGCCATGGAGCAGCTATAGACAGCACTGACTACTG